AACGGCCTAACCGTCCTGCGCAGCTTCCGCCTCTTGCGTGTCTTCACCGCACTCCAAGTCCTGCCAACCATGCGACGACAGCTTGCAGTCATGATCAAGACCCTCGACTCTGTGCTCACGTTTCTGTTTCTCCTCGGCCTCTTCGTCTTCATGGCCGCCATCGCCGGGATGCGCCTCTTTGGGCAAAGGTGAGACGACCCATCACTCCTTGATTCTCGCATAATGTGTCTTGCTTGCTTCACATTCCTGTGTGTGTACATGTGTGTGTATGTGTATGTGTGTATGTGTGCACGTATACGTGAGGCACACACTCCGCCTCTCTATTTGTGTTGATGGATGGTTGACATCAGCCCCTGTCACTAATTTCCTCTCACCTTTTCCACAAACACACACACATACACACACACACACATACACACACACACACGAACCACAATGGTCACTTGCGTCCTGTTGTCGTTCTTCTTCTTGTTCTTCTTGTTCTTGTTCTTGTTCTTGTTCTTCTTGTTCTTGTTCTTGTTCTTGTTCTTCTTCTTGTTCTTCTTCTTGTTCTTCTTGTTCTTCTTGTTCTTCTTGTTCTTCTTCTTGTTCTTGTTCTTCTTCTTGTTCTTGTTTCTTCTTGTTCTTGTTCTTCTTCTTCGCCATGACTGCAGGTTGGAGCTGCCGGAGTGGGAGGAGGACGGGACGGGCGTGCCACGGGCCAATTTCTCCACGTTCTGGAATGCAGTCATCCTCGTGTTTCAGGTGCTGACAACAGAGGACTGGACGCTGGTCATGTACAAGGCAGCACACGCTACCAGCCCAACTGCTTGCATCTACTTTGTGCTGGTCCTGGTGCTCGGGACGTACATCCTCTTCAACCTCTTCATTGCCATCCTGGTGGAGGGCTTCGCCACAGACCTGGAGGCGCTAAAACGCTTCAAGGAGGCCGTCGTCAAGACGCGTGACGTTCTTCATGACATTCCTTCAACGTCCACACTCGCGTACGCCACGTCACCCATTCATGGCGGCTTGGGTCAAGCACAGCAAGAGCGACAAGAACAACGGGAACAGCAAGGAGACATTGTGTTGTATGATGCAGCCATGCAGCGTTGTGACTGCCCACACATGACAGTGTCTGCGAACCTTGATGCGAGCGTAAGAATGCCGACATCAGCAACAACCACCACCGCTACTGCTGTCTTGGGCAGCGCATGCGGCACAGATAGTGGCGGAGATGCGAACAGTGCTGGCGATGGCAAATGGTGCAGTCGTGATGGTCTTCCCGCTGTCTCTCGTCATCGATCACAGCAAAAGCCGTCGGCGTGGCGGCAATTTCGCGCAGTCGTTGACGCGATGGTGTGCGCGTGTGAGCCGGTGCGGCGCCTCGTCTGCTGTTGGCAGTCGCGCCGTGTTGCCCCAGCACCAACACCACCATTACCACCATCACCACAATCGCCATCATCAACAGCCCGAGCAGCAAGAGCAGGATCGGCCGCAACAACAAGTTTGGCAACAACACCAGACGCCATTACGCCGGAGGAAGAGCGGATCAATGAAGACGACAACCGTCCGCCCCTGTTCGTGCGTGTGTGTCCTGGTTGCAACGGCTGGCGCCATGGTGAAGCGCGTGGACATGGGCCAAGGCAACACGTATTGGGCGAACGTGATCAGCCACAACATTGGCAACCACACCACGAGCACACACACCGGCGGCATGAGCTGCTGTGGCGTCTGCGTGTTGCGCGCGCCCGCGCATGCGTACGGCGGGTGCTACAGAACCCACGATGTGAAGCCGCCATGTTTGTGCTCATCCTGATGAGCGCTTTGACGCTGCTGTGGGAAACGCCACGCGCGGGGGAGAAGCGCAAGCGCATTTTGCAGGGTGTGTACATGTTCTTCAACACGGCCTTTTTGATTGAGGTTCTGTGCCGGGTGTTTGCAGAAGGGTTTCTTCCGCGGAAACGGCCGTCACAGGAAGCCGCGCAGCAGGACCACCAGGGACACCAGCAGCAGATGCAACACACGCAACAGCAGTCATTGCCACACGGAAGCCAAATCTCCAATCTTGAACAATCAGCCGCAGCAGCAGCAGCAACACCAACGACAGCATCCATCGACGCAGGCACTGCAGGCACACCAACAACTACCGCAGCAACAGCGACAGAAGCAATAGCAGGCAGCAGCATCAAACCCCAGAGTGCCCGTGCGGGCGTGTCTTCTGCTGCTGTCTCATCAGCGCCAGCACCGCAGCTTGCTCCCACGGATGCATCTGGTGACGCCTGGGCGGAGGAGTCCGATGGGTTTCTGGCTAGCGGATGGAATATCCTGGATGGGTTTGTCGTTCTCACGTCGTGGATCTCCATGGGTCTTGAGCTGGGCGGGCTCAGCAGCAGCGTCCTGCGCACCATTCGCGTTCTCCGCGCACTGCGCGCACTGCGGCCTCTGCGCCTCGTGCATCGGATGCCAAAACTGAAGCAGACCGTGGGCACGCTGTTCACTTCCGTGCGCCCACTCACCAACGTGTTGCTGATCGAGATCATCTTCTTTCTCATCTTTGCCATTCTCGGGGTGCAGCTGTTCAAAGGCTCCCTGCACGCATGTACAATGACGCACGGCGTGGTGATCAACGCCAGCACATGCAACAACCAGTCATATGCCGCTACCCTCGGATACACCCTCCCAACGACAATGGCAGAAGTACCAACAACTGCCGTGGCCACCGTCACAGCGAGCGCGTTAGACCAGGCAGGCGTTCCTTTGGCAACGGCAGTAGCGGTGACGGCAGCAAGCGAACTCATAGGCCTTAACTCTGCCTCGTCCACGCCACATGCTTTCTCTGGTGGTGGCACCAACACAACGACGGGGCCAGTGCCGGGCGCGGGACTGTGCGGACACGTACGAGTGACGGACAAGGCGTCGTGCATCGCCGTTGGCGGGGAGTGGGAGGCGTTCCAGTACAACTTTGACAACTTGGCCATGGCGCTGTTGACGCTGTTTGTGGTGTCGACGCGCGACGGGTGGGTGCTGGTGATGGATCGGGCAACAGATGCCGTTGGGCCGGGGCGGCAGCCGCAGCGCAACGCAAATCCGCTGGCTGCACTCTACTTTGTCGCGTTTGTGCTCGTTGTTGGCTACTTTGTCATCAACATGTTTGTTGGCGTGTTGGTGGAGAACTTTCAGCGCAGCATGCCGCTCGACGAAGGCGATGAAGACAACAAAGACGACAAAGGTGGAGACATCGAAGACGAAGAGAAGGAGCATCAACATCAACATCAGCAGGAGCAGGAGCAGGAGCAGGAAGGAGAAGAGCGAGAAGGGGAAGAGCGAGACGGAGGGGTGGAGGCAGTGCAGCAGCATGGAGAAGGGGAGAAGCGGTTTGCTGCAGTTTGTGCGCACGAACGTAGTGAAGCAACAGTATCGAGACTCGATGCAGGCGTCCAAAGCAGCGACGGTGATGATGATGGCGATGATGATGACGCTGGCGGCGACGGTGGAGATGGTGATGGTGACGGCCTTGCAGCAGGTTGGCACGAGTCGGGACACGCGGTGCGTTGTCCCACGGATTTGCTCATCCCACAAGTCCTTGTGTCATCGCCGTCGCCGTCGCTGTTGGAAGAGACGCTCAAGAATGACCAGATTGAGGACAATGGTAGTGGTAATGGCAACGGAAACGCTACCGCAATCGCTGGTACTGGATGCAGGGATATTGTGAGCCATCACCACAGCATTGTCAGTGGCGCGTCAAGTGACACGGATGTTGCATTGACTTTAAATGCCCGCGAAGACAGCAGTACTTCACAGGCGCGGGTGCCCGACATCACGTCGCAAACAAGCACGCACGTTGCCATCAACACCACTGCGGGCGCTGACGATCCGGCCTGTGCAACAACACCACACCGAAGAAGAAAGGGGCACACGGGCGAGTGGACGCGGTTTCGCTTGGCGTGCTGTGCCTTGGTGCATCACCCTACCTTTGACCTCGTGACGAGCTCATTGAATGCAAGCAACGTGGTGCTGATGATGGCTGAGCACCATGGCCAGCCCGCGTGGGTGGGGCACATGTTGTCGACCGCAGAGCTCTTCTTCACCGCCTGTTTCACGCTCGAGGTGATTGTGAAGTTGGTGGCGAGCGGGGCACGAGTGTTTGCGCAGAGCGCGTGGAACAAGCTGGACTTGTTTGTTGTCGTCACGTCGATTGCGGGCATTGTCGTCGAGTGGTCCACGGACGGCCTCCCCGTGAACCCAACGGTCCTGCGTGTGCTGCGCATTCTCCGTGTTGCGCGCGTGTTCCGGCTGGCAAAGATGACGCGCGGTATGCGGTCGCTCCTGGCAACGGTGACGCAATCCGCGTCGCAGGTCGGAAGCCTGGCATTGCTGCTGCTCCTCCTCTTCTACATCTCTGCTGCTATTGCCGTTGAGCTGTTTGGGCGCATGTCGTGCAGCGTGGATGCGCCGTGCAGTGGTCTCAGCAGCCACACCAACTTCCGCAACCTGGGGATGGCCATGTTGGCGCTGTTCCAGGTTGCGACCGGCGACAACTGGACCGGCATCTTGAGCGATGCGTTGCGGCGTCCACCTAAATGCAACGATGCGCCAGATTGTGAGATTGGCTGCTGTGCAAACCCACACATTGCCTCCCTCTTCCTCGTCACTTTTGTCATTCTCGCCCAGTTTATCCTCCTGAATGTCGTCGTGGTAAGCGTGCTACGTGTTTGTTTGTTTGTATGTGTTTGTGTGTTGGAGGAGTGTGTTTGTGTGTGTGCGTGCGTGTGTGTTTATGTGTGTGCGTGTGTGTTTATGTGTGTGTGTGTGTGTGCGTGCGTGTGTGTTTATGTGTGTGCGTGTGTGTGTGTGTGTGTGTGTGTGTGTGTGTGTGTGTGTGTGTGTGTGTGTGTGTGTGTGTGTGTGTGTGTGTGTGTGTGTGTGTGTGTGTGTGAACGTCGCCCAATCTTTGTCCGCCACCCCCCGCGGCAACGATCACTTGCACTCATTCTCCCTACCCATATTGAACGTTGCACGCCACACCCTACCACCACCACCACCACCGTTCAGGCTGTGCTGATGAAACACTTGACGCAGGTGTTGGAGCACGATCAAGTGGACAGGCGACGCAGGTCGAAGATGTGAGCAGCAATGCGCGATTTCCGGTTTATTGATTGTGTGGGTGTATTGTGTTTGTGTCTGTGCAAAAATAGGCAGACGGGTTGCAGCTTGTGCATAAATGCATTTCGTGGCTTGCGATGGGGAGAGCGTGGTGCGGACTGCTCTCCGCTGTTTCTTGCATGCTATTGCGACCCCATTCTGGTTTCCCATGTATCTTCTCTTCATTGTCTGTCCATGAAGTCGTGCGGGCTAGTTATTCATCATGAGGGGGAGTCGGTAGACAGAACCGCGCACTGACTCGGCACCAGCAACGGTATTGGAAACACGTGGTGGCCCGTTGTTGTTTAAGTTCGTGAGGATTGTTGTTTGAAGCTGTTGAGGTTTGCTGTGGGTGTTCTTTGCTGTTGCTTTATTCACATCAAGTCGAGTTACTCAAGGAAGCGCACAAGGCATGGATGGGTGCAGCCACCAGTACGTACAACAGCAATGGCGACACAAACACGAATGGCATCAAATCATCATCAAAATATGTCTGGGGGATGGGGCTATCCTGAACAATATGCAATGAACGACACATACACGTGCGCGCGCTGCAGCCCTTGTCGGGTGTGATCGCAGTTGCAGCACAGCGGGAGGAGGTAGAGGAAGGGGGTGGGGCGCGTGGTGGTGAAGGGGTGCCGGGACACGGATGCTGTCTCGCAGCACGAGGCGTGTCCCTCCGCTGTTACAGTCTTGCTTGTTGGTGCTGGCTCGCAATAGGAAGAAGGGCGTGGGCGTGGGCGTGGGCGTGGGCGTGGGCGTGGGCGTGTCGGGGAGAGGGATGCCCAGCTGTCGACCATGCTGTTTGCTCGCCCGCCCACACATACATTACATGACAAACAAACACGCGCACGCAATACACAGCACCAATAAAATGGGACAAGGCAGGGTAAGGTAACACAAACCAACACAAGACACCGCCCATGAGCATCACGAGATGATGGCCTTGGCTCTGAACTCGTCTGGGTCGAGGCTCTGTGCGCCCCTCATGCCAAACCCTTTCATGAGATCGTGGCGCCGCTCAGAGAGCGCCTGCATGACAAGCAACAGCGCAATTAGGTGGAGGGGGGGAGATTTGTGAGAGGATGCGCTGCACATATCAGCAAAAACCACACGCATACGTGTATGTGTACATACACGCGCGTACGTTTCCACACACACACACACACACACACACACACACACACACACACACACACACACACACACACACACACACCACATTGACACACGTGGACACAAGCAACCCCCCCCCCCCACACACACACAGACACGCACACGTACGAACACACACATACATTGACACACGTGGACACAAGCAACCGCCCCCCCCCCAACACACACTCGTGCACACGTACCTCAAGCCTCTTTGCCTGGTCTTTGTTGAGGGGCTTGAGAGGAAAGTCCTTTTCAAACTTTTCCGCCAGCGCACGGAGTTCAAAGTAATACTTTGCATACACGCACGAGTCAACATCAATGTTGAAGTCCAACATCTCCAGGAAAGTGCGTTCCAAATCGTTCCTGACGACGATCAAGAGGAGACGGAGCAGCAGCAGGGAATGTGTCGGGGGGGGGCGTGTTAGCAGTGGGTGCAAGCTGGACAGGAAGACGTTACGCTGGCGACGAGCATCGAAGAAACAATTCGAGAGCCGTACGCACAGCGACACACAACAGGACAGGACAGAATAGAAGACAACAGACAGGATTGACAGGACAGAACAGGCCAGACACACGGGCGAACGCGCAGACGCATGCACATCACACATCACACATCACACATCGCTCACTGCACTGCGAGACAAAAGCGCAATAAGCGCGTGCCGCGCTCACATGTCCTCGACGGCGACGCTCGGGAGCATGCTGCAGAAGTCGACGTTCCACACGGCCTGGTCGTCCCACACCTTGGAGGCAAGCAAGATGGCGCCAAGCACAACGCGCTTCCACGTGGACGCGTGCAGGGTAAGGCTCGTGTACGCAATGAGGCGGTTCACGTACACGAGCGTGATGATTGCACACTCCGCTGTCAGCTGTTGGGGTTGCGCAAAGCAAGGAGATGGGATGGGATGGGATGGGATGGGGTGGGATGAGCAATCATGAGGATGGCATACGCGCGCGCGTGTGTGTGTGTTTGTGGGGGGGGTTGTATGTGCATGTATGTGCACGTATACATATAAATATCTGTGTGTGTGTGTGTGTGTGTGTGTGTGTGTGTGTGTGTGTGTGTGTGTGTGTGTGCGGCTGTGCACAGGTGATAGAGCAGACAGACAGGGTGGGCAAACATAGTACCTGTGCTGAGTTGAACAGCTGAAACATGAATTTGTAGATGCGGTTTTCGCTGGGAATGCGAGAAGCGTAATCACGCCGTACGCGATCCTGGTCACAGAGGGTGGGTGCGCGTGTGAGTGTGAGTGTGAGTGTGAGTGTGAGTGTGAGTGTGAGTGTGAGTGTGAGTGTGAGTGTGAGTGCGCGCGCGTGCGTGTGGCGTACACCCAGTCAGACAGGAATGAAGGGACAGAACCATAGACAGAAAAGTGGGCATAGACAGCCAGAGAAGTGGGCATAGACAGACATGAACGAAGCACACACACACGCACGCACACATTCGCACAAGCAAAGCGGCAACATTTGTGCACACATGCACCAGCACGTGCGTGTGCACATATGAAGCAAGACATACGGTGATTGGGTGGCGCTTCTCGTCGAATTTCTCGCTAAAGAGGCGAGGGTTGTCCTGCCTGCAGAAATTGGGGAGCAGCAACAGCACAGCACACACAAGAGGCACAGCCCATGGGCGTGAGAGCAGGTATGGACGTGCAAGCGGTGCAAGCGGTGGGAGCTCAGCACAAAGACACACACACACACACATGCGCGGGAGACAACACCATGTGCACTACTGGTTGGGGGGAGGGGGCTTTGGACACATACTTGTGGCCGTCCTCGACGACATATGAAAGTGCCAAGGCAACGCTGCATGAGGCAAGACAGGGTTGTGTGAGGCGTGGCCGTGAACAAGGCAGTTCGCACACACAAACACATACACACACACACACACACACATGGACGAACCAGCGAAGCGTTTCCTCGAGGTTTGGACTGCTGACGGTGCTGTCAACAAAGAGGGTGGAGGTGGAGTTGAACTTGCGCGAATTGGCAAGTTCTAGCGGCTGTAAATCGTCCTGTTGCACACACACACACGCACACACACACACACACGCACACACACGCGCACACACACACACACAGACACACACACACACACACAGACACACACGCACACGCGCACATACACACACAGACACACACACACGCACACGCGCACATACACATGTGAGCTTGGGCGGGCAAGATAGATGATGGACACAAGGGTATCCTGACAGAAAACAAAGGGCACAGTGTTGCGTGGGTGAATGCATGAAGCGCGCGTGCGCCGCACCTCTGCCACCGAGAATCGGCGGGATGTGCTCCGTGAAAGCTTCCGGGAGGGCGGCGATGGCGCCTCTGTGACCGCACACGACAAGCACCACCAGGAAGAGGCGCATGGAACGACACCGGTTTGTGAGTGCTCAAGAGTGGTTGGCGCTTCTGACTCAACACGAGCAGCCAACATGCATGAGCACGCCCGAGGTATTTGGTCAGACACGCACCTGATGACAGCGGCAGCACGTTGTGCAGTACTTGGATCTCATGGTCGAGGTGATCTGTTGCCAATAGCGCGCGAAAACACACACACATGTACATGCACATGTACGTTGCATCGTCAATGCATCAGTGCGAGCAGCGGAAAAGCATCGTGGAATGAGCTGTTCACGATCCAAACAAGTCACATCAGAACTGTGAAGGTTGCGCGAAAGCTCCGCACTGTGTTGCACAGACCTTGTCTATCACTGATGTGCTCGACACGTTCGTCGTCATCATACTGCCCTTTGTGCGTTGACATCTCTGCCCAGAGTCCAGACACACAAGACGAAAACAAAGCAACCGTGAATCAAACAAAGATGTATTAACGTGAGTGTGGTGAGACAATACACGCGTGCATTGTCTGTGCGTGTGTGACGCACACACACACACACATTCGCAAACACCCACACACACACACATACGCACACGCACACACACACACACAAACACACACGCAAACAAACACACGCTGTCTCTGTCTCTCTGTGTGTCTCTCTCTGTCTCTGTCTCTCTGTGTGTCTCTCTCTGTCTCTCTCTCACTCACTCACTCACACACACACTCTCTCACACTCACTCACTCACTCCCTCACTCACACATACGCAAACACACACACACACACACTCTCTCTCTGTGCAACGGCAGAAGCGCCCACGTGCGGAACACAGCCTAGCAGCGACATGCAGGTGCTAACCTGGCCGATGTTGGCTAATGCGACACCCCATGGGAGTGGATGGCTCGGGTGTGGTACAAAGACAAAAACGTATCGGAGATGGGAACAACAACTGATGCGACACACAACTTGACACTTGTCGTTGAGCATTCAACAGCAACCACGACAACAACCCCGATGAGAATGAGGTCCTCCCTCCTTCTCGCGCCTAATCAATCGCACAATTGCTCTGTCGACGTAGCCCCACAAGAAGAAACTCAACAACCACGCCGTTCACACACACACACACACCTCTTTGGCTGCTCCGTCACAAACACACACGGCCAAACAAGCAACAAGTCCTTCGTACAACACACGACGCAGCGCAGAGCACAGACAACGCCACAACCAGGGGGTGCTTGTGTTGTTGTGTGTGTGTGTCTGGACAATCGCAATCGTGAAGAATTGTTAAAGATTTTGCGAATTTTCTACTACACACTGACGACGGGCGAGGAAGTGTGAACGAGCGACACACGAATGAGGTCATGATGGCGTGCACGCCTGACTGTACAAGGCGTGAACACATGATCAACAACTCACGACGAAACACCACCGGCGGCAGCAGCAGTGGCAGCGCAGACCAGCAAGGAGAGGCAAGATGTGGGATGTTGCGGGGGTGCGTGGCCTTGGTGTGCTTCCGGAACCAGCCGAAGAAAGCAGCACGAGGACAAGCAGCAACATGACATAGCGCCTTGCTGGGAACAAACCTGCGCTGGCCCGCTCACGACAACGCGCACTCACGCCTGCATGCACACCTGCTCTCGCACGCGCGCTTGTTCGTGTGAGCAGTGACATAAGGGGAAGGTGGAACAGGAACGCAACACCAGAAACACAGCCAATGGATGAATTCAAGAAGGCCATGAGGATCAACAGTACTAACAGTAGTAACACGGCGAGCGAAACGGCCGATGGGCCAACAAGCAAGCTAACACAAACGGGCGAAGAGGAGGAGGAGAGAAGGAGAGAAGGATGCCTACGAGGAAACAATCCCCAAATGATTGCACAGTACACATACTGGGCGAAGCGAAACACGTGTATGAGATGAGATGGAACAGACAACACACACGCCCTTACGCGGTGCGAACAAATGCACACAAACCAACACATGGGCTCTCCTCTGACTAAACGTGATGAGATGAGATGGAACAGACAACACACGCCGCACGCGGTGTGAGGTGAACAAATGCACACAAACCAACACATGGGCTCTCCTCTGACTAAACTTGTCGATGTGAAACAACTGCAACACTTTCACGCACATGCACAGGTGCGTACAGGTACAGACATACAGTCAAGCACACGCACGTAACTTTGACGTGCGCAAAACATGCACGCACACAGGCTGCCGCAAACACACACACGCGCGCGCGCCAACACCAGCACAACAACGGAAAAAAAGCAAAAGAAAAGGAAACGAAGAAGAAAAATGAGGGCGTGCATTACTGCAGCCTGAGCTGGCGCAGTTGCGCATGCTCGCGTTGAAATAGGGTGGTTGTCCGTATCAAGCCATCACAGGATGATCACCCGCACCTGCGTGGACCATTGTGAGGCTTCTTCGGGGTCAGCATACACTAGCACTAGCGCTACGAGCATTGCGTCGTTTGATCGCAATGTGGTAAGGGGAGGGGAGGGAGCTGTTACGTGTGCAGTTATTGCTGAGAAGGAGGGCGTTGTTGCTGCTGCTGCTGCTGCAGTTGCTGTTGTTGTTGTTTTTGTTGTTGTTGTTGCTTCTGCTGCTGCTGGGGTTGCTGCAAGGAGTAAGCATTTGGCTGCGGAGCCGCCTGGCCGCCAATGGCATCGCCAAAATTGGACACCCCTGGCTGTCTCGGGTGCTGCTGCTGCTGCTGCTGCTGCTGCTGCTGTTGTTGTGGCCATTGGGGCGTAGTGGCACCACTGGCTTGCGATGCGAGTGCGTATTGCATGGCGAGTTGCGATAACGCAGCCGGGTTCATGAACGGCAGCTGTCCCATCATTGCGGCTACATGCTGCTGCTGCCCCGGCATTGATGAGGACGAGGATGTCGGTTGAGATGCAGCCTGCATTTGGGCCGACGTCGAGGCAGGCTGCATGGCGGCTGGCACTGAAGGCCCAGGGCGTGGGGAGCCCTGCTGCGGCTGCTGCTGTTGTTGCAAAAGCTGCGGGTTAAAGGAGAGCATCGAGTGCGCTGGTGATTGTTGAGAGGATTGTTGCTGTTGCTGTTGTTGTTGCTGTTGTTGCTGCTGCTGTGGAGATGACATACCAAACATGGAAGGATTCATACCCATCATCAGCGCTTGAGGGATTGACATCATGGGCAGCCCCATTGTCCACGGGGCCTGGCTCATTGCAGCGAGCAGCGGCTGCAGTTGCTGCTGCTGCTGCTGTGCAGCTGTTGTTGTTGTTGCTGCTGGTTTCGGCTGGTGTTGCTGCATTTGCTGCTGTGGCATCACGGGTTGCTGCATCTGCTGCTGGCCGTGCTGCTGAGCAAACAGGCGCATTTGCCGCTGCACTTCCTCTGGAGAAAACGCAAGGCTGCTTGCACCGGTGCCGGCGGCAGCACCGCTGTCGGGCTCCGCGACATCGGCGTCGTCGGCCTGCTTGTCCTTGCGGCGGCTGCGGCGCTTTCGTTTGCCGTTGCTTGGCGGGCGCATGGGCATGGGGTGGGCGACGCCAGACGCCGCGACGGTGGCCGCGTTGATGGCGGCGCCAGGGTGCAGCGGCATGCGCTGGGCGGCGGAGATCATGAGCTCGTGCAGGCGCTCCAGGTGGCCGCGCTCGTGCACCCGCAGATACGACGACGTGGTGAACGACTTCTGGCAGTACCGGCACTTGTACGGCCGCTCGCCTTGGATGAACATATTGGGCCAGTGATGGGAGTTTGCAAGGAAGCGGGATAGGATGGAGTGGGGGCGGGAGCGAGGTGGAGAAGGGGGGGGGGGGTTGGAGTGAGCAAGTACGAAAACAGCGCGTGGGCACCGAATGGTGCTGAGGTTTGCTTGGGGGGGGGGGGTGTTGCTGTATGGGTGTGAATCACTCTGTGTGTGTGTGTGTGTGTGTGTGTGTGTGTGTGTGTGTGTGTGCATGCATACGTGTGTTGCTATGTGTGGCTGTGTGGAGCACGCAGCTGTCCTCGCGCGGTAGTTGTGTTGCACTCAATTGCATACATGCACACAAGCATGCATTCACGCAGACATCCACACCTTTCGGCATACACACTCGAGCATTCAAGTCACGCACCTGTGTGCGTGCGCACGTGGACATTGAGGTTGCCGCGTTGATTGAAGCGCCGATCACAGTACGGACAGCCGTACGGCTTCTCTCCCGTGTGTATACGCTCATGGCGCACGACGTGTGCGTTGGTGGTGAACGTCTTGCCGCAGAAGCGGCAGCACAGGCGGCCCATACGCTTGGCCAAAGCGCTGGTGTTCGCGTGCGCAGTTCCGTCGGCAGCGGCGTCGCTCGCGTTTGCAGTTGCGTCACCAGCGTCGCTTGTCACGCCCGCGTCTGTATCCGCAGCGTTGGCGGTGTCTTCTTGCTCTTGACTGCTGGTGTTCTGGCCGTGCACGGCGGGCGCATCTGCAGTGGGCTTGGAATGCATGGCCTGTGGTGCCTGTTCGCTGGATGCTGCCTGTGGCACCGGGGTGGGCAGCTTGCTGCCGGGTGTTTCTGTGCGCGCTGCGTGCTGTTGCTGCCGAGCCAAGGGCTGCGACTGGGGCGCCTGCGCCTCCAGCGGGACCTGTGACTTTTGTTGCTCCTGGTTGCCTTCCTGGTCTTGTTGTTGTTGTTGTTGTTGTTGTTGTTGTTGTTGTTGATCTTGTTGTTGTTGTTGTTGATCTTGTTGTTGTTGTTGTTGTTGATCTTGTTGTTGTAGCTGTTGATCTTGTGGCTGGTGCCCACCAGGCCCTGGTGATTGCGGTTCTGCTGCGCTGGACACGTGTACACCTGCAGCAGGGGTTGTTGGTGTTGGCATTGTAGATGCGGCTGGTGTTGGGTTTGTGTCAGGAGAAGCGACAGCACTGCGATGCTGTTTTCGGTCGGCAGCGGTGGACGTGGCAGCGGCAGACACCTCCTGTTGCGCCTGTGACAGTGACGTTGGGCTACCAGATTGGGGTTGTTGGTCTTCGCCCTTGAGCATCGCTGGCCGGAGGAACGGGGTGTCTGGAGGATTAATTGTATAGTGGAGCAACAAAAGCAAGAACGCAAGTTAGCCAAGATGCGGAGGGGAGGGTATTGGCGTGCATGCAAATGTTCGCTGTGGAGGGGCGGGTGTCTGACGCGTGCTGCTGCATGCATGGGTTGTGTGGGCTGAAGCGTAGTTGGTATGCAAAGGTCAGAGGAGAGACAACGGCTTCACTGAGCACACAATCGTTTGCCTTGTCATGTGCACGTCCCACACAGGAACAATGACGACCCGTCAATCCCCTTCAAACACGACGCAGAGCCTCTACATCGCTCGCACCCCAGCTTACTTGCTCACACGCGCACACATACGGCACACGTATTACTGGCTCACAAACGCCTCTGCACACACACACACACACAGAGAGAGAGAGACACACACACACACACAGACACACAGACACACAGACACACACACACAGACAGACACACAGACACACAGACACACACTCACACACTCACACACACACACACTCTCTCTCTCTCTCTCTCACCCACTCACTCACTCACTTGCTTTGGCTCGCCTGTGTATGGGGTGAAATGATGCGAAGCAGCAGCAGGTGTGGTGTGAACTCACCCGCGTTCGGGGGGTGTGCCTTACGGCAAAACAAAGGAGCAGGCGAATTTAAGTAGGCTCGGTGGTGACGTCGAACAGCGCTTGCACGAGGTGTGACGTTGGCAGGTCTTGTTTTGGTGGGGCGGCGGCACTGTCGCGGCACCTGAACAAGCGATCACACACGCTCGGTGGAAGGAAGAGCCCTTCTTGCTTGGGAGATGGGAGCCGGCTTGATGATGCTTGTTTGCGTGTGTGGGTTAGTGGGGGGTAGGAGGCCCGCCGTCGCTGGTGAGCGTTGAGGGATGTGTGTGGTTGCTTCTTGCTTGCTTCCTGACTTGCTCGCCGTCCTTGGTGCTGCTTGGTGTTCCTGCGGCTGAGAGGGTGTGGCCGACGATCAAGCAAGACGATTGGTGATGTGAATGGAATCGAGCGAGCGACCAAGCCCTTGCGATCAAGCCGCCTGTCAAGCAGTTCCTTGTTGGGGTAAGCAATGTATGCAAGGCACGAGAAGGCGGCAGCGGCGATGGGAAGGTCGCGGCTGCAGAAGTCGCGCTTGCTTGCTTGCTTGCTTGCTTCTGCTCGTCTTTCTTTGTTTGCTTGTGTTTGCGTCGGCAGGTATCAATCCGCCACCCCGCGTTGCCCAAACCGTTTGCAAAGTCACTCCGTTTCCCACGACCTCCTTCAATTGCCCAGAACGTAAGTATAAAGGCAGGGCACCCCATGCCGATGATTATTGCTTATCGTTCACAATTCTGCCAAACTGCAAGGGCACTCTCCGACGTGCCTCAGCCTAGGCGCGGGTCATTCGCAACATTCATGAACGAGAACCAAAGATGGCATCAAAAGGTGCTGTCGTGAACCGTCGATTCAAGCGGAGCAGGATGACAATGATTTGCGAAGAGTGAGCGAGGGAGTGTGTGATGTGTGTGTGTGTGTGTGTGTGTGTGTGTGTGTGTGTGTGTGTGTGTGTGTGTGTGTGTGTGTGTGTGTCTGGTTGGTTGACATGATGAAGGAATTGTTTGGCAGCACTCACGTCGTCATGTCACTCCTTCGTCTTGCCACACGTCCCTTCCTTCCTGCCCTTCCTTCTTTCTTTTGCTTGCTTGCTTGCTTTGATCCCAGGTCGAGACCCAAAGAAGGAGGCTGAACTTGGTACGGTACAGTTGCTAGAGAGTTGGCGAGGTGGTGTTACACTGGACCGCTGCACAAAACCCGGTCGCGTGCGTCGCTCAAACCATGTTGCGTGTTGCTTGGCGCCTGTGCGCATGGATGGGCTCATGTTGGGCCGTTGGCTTTGTGTCTGTGCACTCCCTTCTCTGGTTAGATGCGCGCATTGCCGCGCTGCGCAAGAAGAATGAGGAGCTGGTGAGGCGCCAACAAGCGGCCGAGGCCGAGGCTGCGCGGGACAAGGAGCTGGATCGCCTTGCTGCTGAGCGCGCTCGACAACAACGGCAAAAGGAGCGTGAGCAAGAGCGCGAACGAAAGGCCATGGAAGCCTACGAGGTACCCCAAGGGGAAGAGAGAGAGAGTGTGTGTGTGTGTGCGAGACGAAGAGAGAGAGTGTGTGTGTGTGTGTGTGTGTGTGTGAGTGAGTGTGTGTGTGTGTGTGTGTGTGAGTGAGTGGTGAGTGAGTGAGAGAGTGAGAGACAGACACACAGAGAGAGAGAGAGAGAGTGTGTGTGTGTGTGTGTGTCCATATGTGTGTGTGCGTGACAGCGTGTGCAGATGTACACCGCGACACATCGACACGTGGAAAATCACACGCAATCTCATCCTTCTTTTTCCCTTTGTGTGCAGGCGAAGCGAAAGCAGAACATTGCGGAGGAGAAGGAACGACAAGCGCTCATTGCTGATTACGAGCAACAGCGTGAGGGCGCAGAGAAGAACCGCGTCGTCAATCAGGTTCAATATCTGTCTGCAACTACACTCACACACATGCTGTCCGTGCATTGTTCCATGTTCCTGCTCGTTGTCTTTGTCTCATACCGCCATCATCCCTCCCCACCGTGCAAACCATTTGTCATTGCCATGACTTGACCCCGTTCCCCCTCCCCAACTCGGTTTTGCTCTAGAGCCTGCGTGGACGTCACAATGCAGAGCGCGAGCGCGGCCCTTCTCGGCGTGGGGTGCGTGCTGCCAACAATGGGGTTGCAACGGCTTGTCGCCGAAGTGCTTTTGCGTCTCTGTCAGTGAGCAATGAGCAATTGCACTCGGGCGTGCTCCTGTTCTTCGGCAGCTTGCTGCCTGTCGATCAACTTGTTCGCCCGCCTAACTGTGTGTGTGTGTGTATGTCTGTCTGTCTGTCTGTCTGTCTGTCTGTCTGTCTGTCTCTGTCTCTGTGTGTGTGTGTGTGTCTCACCCTCACGCACACACACGCACACACGCACACACGCACACACTCACACGCGCGCGCGCGCACGCACACACACACACACACACACACACACGCACACGCACAAACTCAGCATGCAAGGAAAACCGGCGGTGCCATGTCGGCAAAGGTACGCCCCATGTTGCATGGTGTCAGTGTCTCTGCAAATGACCATTGTGTCGCGATGGCACGCCCTGATCCCCTGCTGTAGTTGCTGCGGTGGATGCTGTGCTCGACACGTCGTTTGACTGCGTGCGCCACGTCCACTCGTGCAGCTGCGCCTGCCTGCGTATCCACCTCCGCATATGTTCATGCCTGTGTATGTGTATTTATGGAAACGTTTTGTCAATGCTGTTGTCGGGGCTGTTGGTGCTTGTGCTGGTGCGACTGATAGGAGCGGCGGTGGAAGGAGGAACGAGCGAAGATCGACGCTGAACGCATGTCGAGACAGATGCGGGTGGACGAGCACGGGAACAAGACGTGGGCCCGCGCATGGGACCAGCCCTCTCACAAGGTCGAGGCAGACAGCTGACGGGACACACACACACACACACACACACACACACACACACACACACACACACACACACACACACACACACACACACACACACACATGTTGTTACTTATTCCTCTGCAGTTTTGGTGGTCTGTTTACCGTAAAACCTACGACAAATGCAAATGGAGAAGCAGCAGCAGCAGCAGCAGCGCAACTTGCCACCACACGGAGAGAGAGTGTGTGTGTGTGGGTGTGTTTTGTTTGCATGTGTGTACATATTCCTGCGTGCGTGCGTGCGCATGCCTGCGTGGGTGCGTCTTGTGTGTTGAGTCTACTCGAGCTTTGCCTCCACCCGCAGGACGCGGCGGCACTCCTTGTCAAACGCCATCCAGTCCACCAAGTGCTTTGGCGGCGCCGGGCTCGTTGTGTCCTGCTCCGCGGGCAAGGGTAGGGAGTGTATGTATGTGTGTGTGTGTGGTGGGGGGGGGGGGGGGTGGGTAGTATGTATATATATATATATATATATATATATGTGTGTGTGTGTACGTGGATGTGTGTGTGTGTATGTGGATGTGTGTGTGTGTGTGTTTGACGGAGGGAAGGAGTCAAGGACGGTGATGAGAACTTGGCGCATGGCATACAGATGTGCATGTGCACACATACACGCCCGCGCATACACCTCATACCTTGAAGCCGAGCTCCTTGAGAACATCGTGTGTTGTGGTCTTGACTATCGCCTGCTTGGCAAAGAAAATGGCCTGTTGCACGAATGATGGTGCATTGGTGCGCGTGTTCACACCGCAATGAACGCACGTCAGCGGTACAAACAAAACCAGCATGCAGACAGAGATCGAGCGAGTGTGAGTGAGCCCAACAAAAGCGCGCACACACTTGTACGCACGCACACACACACACACACACACACACACACACACACACACACACACATACACACACACACACATGTACAGTCCCTCCGCTGCCTGCACTCTCGCCCCCTCCCTTGGCATCGCCTCACCCTGACAAATCCGTCCTTCGTGACGAAGCGCTGCTCAACATAGAACGCGCTTTCATCCCAACACAGCACCTGCGAGCTGTGACATGGCGTGTGGCATGAAAGGCGGTGTCGTTGCGGGGTGAGCACACCCACGCTTCCCAGCCAACGAAACATGCAACAAGGCTCTCTGTGCGCTGAGGGCGTGAAACAGACAGACAGACACGCACACACACACACACACACACACACGCACGCTGCGTACGTGAGGTCGTAGGCTTGAAACGGCTCAATGGATCGACGAAACCGCGTCGTGCACGCTCCAAGCACCATGAATCCCTGCAGCCAGCAACATGGCGCACGTGTGTGGTGCGTTACGAGGTCAAAGGCTGCTACGGACCCACACACACACACACACACATTTGCTCGCTCGCACACGCACACGCACACACACATTTGCTCGCACACACATGTTCCCTCACACACACACACACACACACACACACACACACACACACACACACACACACACACACACAGAGGAACTCACGCCGAGCTTCTTCAGGGCATCAAACACCCCGTTGTGCTTCCAGAGGTTGTAACGGGCGATGTCACATTCCCGAGGGTACTGTGTTGAGTGAGTGGGGGTAACGGTGGTGGTGGTGGTGGTGGTGGTGCAAGGCAATCCAGACCGTTAACAAAGTGGGAGGTGACGCTGAGATAGGGCAGCCACCTCGTACTGCCATCATGCAGGCAACACATACAGGTCCATGCGCGCACCCGCATGTCAACGTACGCGAGCGTTGTTCATGTGAAGCTGGAGTCAAGTTAAGGGAGGGAGCGGGGAAGAGCCACAAGTCCAACCGGTTCGTCAAGGACATGTACACCATGTGAGGTGGTAGAAAGGCGGGTGGCAAGTGTGTGTCCGAGACATGGGATCGCAAGTGCATTGCACGCACACTGATGAGGAAGCGCAAGTAGCCGAGCACCACCAACAACTCACGTTCCAGTCGAGATCAGTGAGCCAGAGTCGACCTGGCAGGTTCACTGTCTCAAAGAGGTCTGCGTTGGAACAGGGGGAGCATGGGGACGATGTGTGTGTGTGTGCGTGTGTGTGCACATGTGTGTGTGTGTGTGTGTGTGATAGTGTGTGTGAGTGTGTGTGTGTGCACATGTGTGTGATAGTGTGTGTGTGTGTGTGTACGTGTGAGTGTGTGCGTGTGAGTGTGTGTGTGTGTGCGTGTGAGTGGGTGCACTACAATAGCACAGCGTGTAGAGGCTGTAAGCCAAATAAAGGCGAGCAAGTAGTTGGACAAGTCGGTAGTTGTACAAAGCAGGCGCATATGCGCGCGTCGACGCGTACCGCATGGTGGGGCAGTGTTGAGTGCGTGCCCGATGAAGAGCGACAGCGTTCGTACAAAGTACAGCACATCCAAGTGCACAAAGAGCGAAGCGACCACAGCCGCCGTCAGCAACCCTTGCCACCACAGCAGCCCATACGTGGTCAGTGCCAGCGTGCCACCCATCACCGCCAGCGCTAACAGTCCATGCAGTCCACCAGCCATCGTGCCTCCTCTGTGTGTGTGTGTGTGTGTGTGTGTGTGTGTGTGTGTGTGTGTGTGTGTGTGTGTGTGTGTGTGTGTGTGTGTGTGTGTGTGTGTGTGTGCGTGTGTGTGTGTGTGTGTGTGTGTTTTGGGCGCACACTATTCTCTTCTTCTTCTTCTTCTTCTTCTTCTTCTTCTTCTTCTTCCACGACAACGCGGCGATGGTGATGGAACTGTCTGAGTACGAGCGGCAGCGGGAACCGCATAAGCTGCAGACAGGGGAGGAGATGATTGAAACGTACTGGCCAGAGCTCGTGGCCCAAATGAAGTGCCCCATCTGCCTCAACCTCATCGAAGAAACCATGGCTACAGAGGTACACGTGGATGTGCGTATGATGTGTGTGTGTGTGTTTCTGTGTGTTTCTGTGTGTATGTGTGTATGTGTGTATGTGTGTATGTGTGTATGTGTGTATGTGTGTCTGTATGTCTGTGTGTGTCTGTGTGTGGTGCCCCCACACGCGCGCACACCGCCTGTGCCACCGCTTTCTCCCCTTATGTGCCACTGTAGACTTACCGCACGTCGTGTGTGTGTGTGTGTGTGTGTGTGTGTGTGTGTGTGTGTGTGTGTGTGTGTGTGTGTGTGTGTGTGTGTGTGTGTGTGTGGCCATCTTTGCTAGTGTATGCACCGCTTCTGTGGCGAGTGCATCAAAAGGAGCCTGCGACACAGCAAGAAGGAGTGCCCGACATGCCGCAAGCCCTGCGCCTCAAAGCGCGTGCTTCGGCGTGACCCGAACTTTGACGAGCTCATCCAAACCCTCTTCCCAGACCCAGACGTTGTCGAAGACTATCAGGAGCAGGTTCGTTGCAGCGCACGTGTGCGTTGTGGGGGCGCACGTCCATCCACTTGTTCAGCGCGCCTCCTCATGCTCACTCACAAGCTGCAGCCACCGCACATGATCAAGCTGCGTGGACTGCTTTGACATCATCGGCACCTGTGTATGCGAGCGTTCACATCCCTTGATCATCACCAACCACCACCATCATGTGCACGTGCTCTCCCAGCTAATGGAGCGCCTGCACCAGACAACCAACATGCGCGCTGTCGCGCAAAGCATGCAAGAAGGCATGCAGGTATGCAGAGCATGCTGTGTCTGTCCTTTCCCCTTACATCTGTCACGGTGATCCGACTCACACTCTCACAGACACAGACACACACACACACACACACACACACACACACACACACACACACACACACACACACACACACACACACACGCTCATGCACGCATGCATGTACACTTAGCATCAAGCGCTTCAACGCAAGATCCGCACAAGTACTATTGTGAGTAGCAAGTCAATGTTTGCCTGATTGGCTGGCTGGTTGTTGCTGAGAAACCATGGCATGACACGCCGTGTGTGACCTTGCATGGCATGGCGTGACATGTTGCTGCTGTCTTGACGTTGTTCACCCTCCCCAAGTGCATACGCATCCCTCATGTGCGCGTGCATATGTGTGTGTGTGTGTGCAAAACGATGAACAGAACCGCAGCATTGCTCAGCGGCATGCCGCTGTCCCAACCGTGTCTGCCTCTGCGCGTGTGCCGTCCACATCCTCGTCATCGTCGTCCACTGCCCCATCGCGCACGCCCTCAGCGACAACACCGGCGCTTCGGAAGCAGCAGCATAGCGGCAGTGGCAGCAAGAAAAAACAGCCTGCCCGCCGTGTGAGCCAGCAGCACGCAGCCGCAGCCGCATCCTCGTCATCGGCGTCGTCATCATCAGCAGCAGCAATGGCCGCAGCGGCAGCAATAACAGCATCGAGTGGCTCGTCCACCACAAGCACACGCATGACGCCATTTCTCGAGGTGATACTGAAGCCCATGGCCAACACATCGCTGCCGCCTCTCGACACGCCGTACATTCTTGCGCCGGCAGATGCGAACGGCAGCACGCTGACGAGGCTCACCAATCACCTCGTCTCCAACAAGATGCAAGGTACTGGTCAAACGGGGACGGTTGTGTGTGTGTGTGTGTGTGTGTGTGTGTGTGTGTGTGTGTGTGTGTGTGTGTGTGTGTGTGTCGTTGTGTCTCCGGTTTGCCGACCCCCCAATACCACCACCACATCGCACGCTCCGTTGTCTTTTCACACACACACACACACACACACACACACACACACACACACACACTCTCTCTCTCTCTCTCTCTCTCTCTCTCTCTCTCTCTCTCTCTCTCTCTCTGCAGGGGATGGCCGGGCGACGGTTGAGCTGCTGCTTGAGCGACACGACCAGATTGTTCCTGTTGGCGCGCGCCTGCAGATGCGCACCATCGCCAAGAACCACGTCAGGTGGCACCCAGCCAAGCCCCTCGTCATCTACTACAGGAAGAAGACCTGATCCACAAGAATACATGTGTGCGTGTGTGTGTAGATGTGCGTGTGTGTGTGTGCGTGTGTGTGTGAGGGCGGGAATCGCGATGCGAATGGGCGTTCAAGTGGTGCGATATGCGTTTATCTGTGCGTGGGTGTGACACTACCACGTGGACGTCTGTGATCGGTCGTGGCTCCTCGATTCTGTGACTGCCATGCATGCATGGTGCTCAGCAGCAACAATGCTTCCTTTGCTCCCTTTGTTTCTTGCCTGCTTTCTAATGGACGCGATGTGATGATGCGTGCGACATATTGATCGCACGAAGCGTGTAAACAGTGTGACGCTTGCCTGCCACTGACACACACACACAACGCACGCACACACACAACATACACATCAACATCAAAAACAACAACAATAACAACAACACACACACGCACACACACACACGCACGCACACACACACACACAAACAACAACAACAACAACAACAACAACAACAACAACAACAACAACAACAACAACACACACGCACGCACGCACACACACACACCACACACAAAACAGACACGAAGACACAAGACCACCAACGAAGATGGATGTGCACAACGTGCTTCCAGCCAGTGTGACCAAGCAACTTGGCGACAAGATCTACGACAAGCGCAAGAATGCCGCGCTGGAGGTGGAGAGGTGAGAACACAGGGCAAAGGGAGGAGGAGGAGGAGGAGGAGGAGGAGGAGGAGGAGGAGGAGGAGGAGGAAGAGAGGTCAAGAGAGGGTGGATGGTGGGCGAAGCATGCGTGTGCGTGCAAATCGCGACTGTGCGATCCGCGTGACACTGTGTCTGCATGTGCATGCGTGCGCGAGTCTCTCTCTCACTCTCTCACCATCACGGATAACGGTGCATGGGTGGATCTGTGTGTGTCTGTCCCCCCTCCCCCCCCCGGGTCTCGGCTCGCATCAACCAGGCTAGTCAAACAGATGCTGGCCAGAAGGGAAGAAGGAAAGGTAAGCGCGCGTGATGAACTCATTCCTGCTTTGTACCAGGTGCACGACGTCCATCGCAAGACATTTCAGCTACCGCTCGTCTCTCACGATGGAGGTGCATTAACCTTGCGTATGTGATACAACAGGTGGTTGCTGTCATCTCCTTGCTGCGCACAGGCTTTCTCCGCCACGACAATGCCAACAACCGCAAGGGTGGCTTGATTGGCCTCGCAGCCACCGCGATGGCTCTCAGCCAGGTGCGCGGCTTGCGCAGGAGTCGCTCCGCGTGTCTGTGGTGGCATGCATAAGTCATTGCCGTGACTGTGTTCCTGGTTCTCACACACCTCCCTTGTGTGTTCCATGACAGTATCTGGAGTCCATCAGCGGCTACCTGAGCGAGCTGGTTCCTCCCATCCTCGCCTGCTTTGGCGATTCAGATTCGCGCGTGCGCTACTATGCCTGCGAGGCCATGTACAACGTGTCCAAAGTTGCACGGCACGACATCCTCCTCTACTTTAACGAGATCTTCGACGAGCTGAGCAAGGTGCCGGTCTGTGTGTCTGTGCGTATGTCTGTATGCATGTATGTATGTATGTATGTATGTATGTATGTATGTATGTATGTATGTATGTATGTATGTATGTATGTATGTATGTATGTATGTATGTATGTATGTATGTATGTGTGTGTGTGTGTGTGCGTGTGTGTCTGTGTCTGTGTTCGCACGCCTGTGTGTTCGTGCTTGCGTGCTCTCCACATCAACGCTCCAGTTCACTTGCTTGTGCACACGACGTCTGCACATGCAGCTGTGCGCTGATCCCGATCCGAGCGTCAAGAGCGGTGCGGAGACGCTTGACCGCCTCATCAAGGACATTGTGACAGAACAGCCCTGCTTCGACGTCGACAAGTTCGTCCCGTTACTCAGTGAGCGCATCTACGCCGGCAACCCATACGTTCGCCAGGTGGGATCACCTGAATGTCTGTCTGTCTGTACATGTCTGTCTGTCTGTCTGTGCATGTGTATGTGTGTGTGTCTGTCTGTCTGTGCATGTGTGTGTGTCTCTGTGTGTCTCCGTATGTCTGTGCATTCCCTCTGCTCTCAGCTATGTCTGCTTGTCTCCCTAGCATCTCTACATCACCCCGCACACTGCGTGTCCTGTGCCACATTCACGCACTCCCTCCTTCCCTCCCTCCCTCACGCCCACTCTGTCCCTCTCCATCAGTTCCTCGTCTCCTGGATCAGCGTCCTCGACTCTGTGCCCGAAATCGACATGCTTGGTACTTGGTGTTGCCCGTGTTGTGACTGTGGATGCTGGTCGCTTGCACCCGTCTCCTCCAAGCTTGCGTTCCTTGCTGTCCTCCCCCCCGCCCTCCTCCGCCTTCAATACCCTCCCCTTAAACTTCCTCGTTCATCACCCTGCGTCCCTCCCTCCTCATATCTCCCCCCCCCTCCACTGCATGCTTGCGTCGCTGCCAGCGCATCTGCCCAAGTACCTGAGCGGGCTGTTCAAGATCCTGAGCGACCAGAATCCGGAGATTCGGCGCATGTGCCAGGCCGTTGTCGACGAGTTCCTCCACGAAATCAAGGTGGTGGTGGTGGAAGGGATGGGGAGAGAGAGAGAGAGAGAGAGAGAGAGAGAGAGAGAGAGAGAGAGTGTGTGTGTGTGTGTGTGTGTGTGTGTGTGTGTGTGTGTGTGTGTGTGTGTGTGTGTGTGTGTGTGTGTGTGTGTGTGTGTGTGTGGGAGGGAGGGAGGGGCTTATGCGGCGGTGCACTTGAAATCTTCAAGTGTATCCTGTTATTCCCTCAGGGAGGGCTCATTTTGTACCATGTACATGTGTGGGCGTGCGTTGCTTGGTTTTCAGGAGGCGGCAGATGTCGACTTCCCTTCAATGCTGCAGATCCTTTCTGCATACTGCTCATCAGAGGGTGCGAACGCTGCGTGTGTGTACGCGTGTACGCGTCTGCGTGTGGTTGCTTCCTCTCATGTTTGTGTTTGCCCTTGGTTCACCATGTCCTCATCAACGTGACGACTACACTCGTCTCTGCTTCTCCTGTATTTGTTCGTTTCTCAGACTTTCTCAGCAAATTCACAGCCATCACCTGGGTCGATGAGTTCATTCTTCTCGCAAAGGTGTGTGTGTTGTGTTGTGTTGTGTTTTGTGTGTGTGTGTGTGTGTGTGTTTTGTGTGTTTTGTGTGTTGTGTTTGTGTGTGTGTATCTGTGTGTGCGGTGAATGACGTCGGTGAACATACCCCCACCGTCATTGTGCATCTCTTGCTTAGCAACACCCCAACAACCGCCAACTACAAACAAATGCACATCCACACCACTCCTGCCGCACCTTTGGGCCCTGTCAGGCGGAGATGCTGCCCCACCTCGCCACGCTCCTCGCTGCCGTCCTGCCCTGTCTCAAACACGTGGCTGACAGTGAAGGAAAGCGCATGAGGTGCGCTCACCCTTGCCTGCGTGTGTGTGTGCGTGTGTGTGTGTGTACGTGCGTCGCTGTCGTCATGGTGGCTGCACTCGCAGCATTCGAGGCTTGCGTGCTGATAGCGCCACAATGCTGCTGCTGCTGTTGTTGCTCACCCTCGTCACTGCATGGCCACAGACAAATTGCTGTGAGCGCAAACAACCGGTTCATGAACCTCGTGCAAGATACGGCAGAAACAGGTGCACCACCACTGCATCCCTGCGCACGTGTGTGACCGGCCACCCGTGAACGTGCCTTTGTGCTCGCACAATGTGCTTTCGATGTCGTGTACACATGATGTGACGACCGCCTCACGATATGGGCCCCTGTGATTCCTGTCACACCACCTCCCAAGAGCTGCAATCCGTGGACCTTCAGCCTGCGCTCCAGATCCTCTGCGGTCTCCTGCAGAGTCAGGTGTGGCGCCGGGTCACGTGTGCTGTTGCTGCATGCACGTGCCATGCGCATCCATTTAGTGTGTGTTGTGTATTTTCGTATCTATGCGTGTTTATGTGTATGCGTATCTGTGTGTGCGTGTGTGTCGTTGTGCGTACGTGTGTGTGCATGTTCTGGTTTTCTCCTTGATCCCCTTTCCTCCTCAATCACGCAACGAGGTTATGTCGAGCCCCTCACATGTGTTGTTGCTGCTGCTGTCATTGCTGCTGCGACTCCAGAGCATCCCCACGCGGTATGCCGCACTGGAGTGGCTCGTCATGCTCAGAACAGTCGCGCCAAAGGAGGTGGGACTGTACACACACACACACACACACACACACACACACACACACACACACACACAGCGCGTACATGCGCGGTTGCTTTGCGTTGTGCATCTCCCTGTCCTATCTCAGCCATCCCGCCCCATACACGCTCAAGTCCGCATGAGTTTGCAAAGCCCGCCACGATTTCCCGCGTTCGTGCCTCGAATTCATATGTGCGTGTCCACCACCACCGCTACGCCATTGCACCGTCCGCGTGACCAGATGTACATGCAGGCAGATGCGCTGACGCAGCAGCTGCTTGCCACCATGGCCGACGACAGCCACGAGGTTCGTGTGCACCTCACGCCATTACACCCCACCCATGTGCTCCTCTGCTGCGTTCATGCGCACATGCACCCGTGCACAGGTGCAGCTCCTCATCCCTTCCCAAACCCCCTGCTCCAAATCCTCCACCACCACCACCATCATCACCACCATCATCATCATCATCATCATCATCATCATGATCACCATCATCATCATCATCATCATCATCATCATCATCATCATCATCATCATCATCATCATCATCATCATCATCATCATCATCATCATCACCACCACCCCGTGTCAGGTTGTGCGGTTGGGTGTGCAGCTCATCTCGGCCATGAGCGTGGTCAAGAACGACGGCAGCGAGAGCGCGTTCCAGGACAGCGCAGACACGTTCTTCGACAGGTACAGCGCAGTGTCTGGCCGCGCGGTGTGGCCTGGTGAAAGAAAGGGTGGGGTTGCACTGTCACCTGTGCGTACACGCACACACACTCACCCACTCACCCACTCACTCACTCACACACACACACTCACTCACTCACTCACTCACACACACACGCACACACACACACACACACTCCCGACACACACACACACACACACACACACTCCCGACACACACACACACACACATATGTGCTACAATGTCTCCGCTTGCATGGACTGGCCAAGGGTCATGGTTGGTCTGCTGGAGCTATTCAAGCAGGACAGCATGCTGCTCTCCAAAGGCGACAGCGCAATCATCCGCACGCTCTGCAAACACCTGCGTCCACACCGTGTATACGAGGCGTTTGCAGGTGCTGCATTTGCTGCATTTGCTTGGCGTGTGTGTGTGTGTGTGTCAGGTGGAGAGGAGACAGTGGAAGGACTGCTGCACTTCCGAGTGTCTGATTTGCCCTCCTGTGGGGCATGTGCTTGTGTTGGTCCTGTTGGTCGTTGTCTGTTGCATCGTGCCTCACAACCACTCAATCTTTTCCCTGCCTCCACAATTTGCTTGTGTTTTGGCATCCACCATCGAATGCGCCCACCGCCAACTGCCTGCAGAGATTGTCGTTTCGACAGAGGACCCCGTGTTTGCGTGGACGGTGGTGCAGAACCTCAACATCATTCTGCTCACCGCCGCAGAGCTGGCTGCGTTGCGGGAAGAGTTGAAAGAGCTTCAAGGCGATGACATTCGCGCGCTCTTCTGCCAGCTGTACCGCTGCTGGTCCCACAACCCGATTGCCACGCTCTCGCTGTGTCTGCTGGCGCAGGTGTACGACCACGCTGCTGACTTGCTTCTCGAATTTGGGAAACTGGACGTTACCATGCCGTTCCTCGTCGAGGTGTGTTTTGCGTGTATGTGTGTGTCTGTATGCATGTGTGTGTGTCTGTTCGTCTTGTGTGTCTCTGTGTGGTGTGTGTCTCCGTGTCTGTGTGTGTGTGTGTGTGTGTCTCTGCCTCCTCCGCCTCTCATTGTACAACGCCCAAGCCCCCCCCCCCCGGCCATTCTTTGAGCTCACCTGCCGAATCTTCAACCGCGCGCTGCCCTTTGCTGGTGTCATGGTCAGGTCGATCGCTTGATACAGCTGCTCGAGTCGCCAATCTTCACATATCTGCGACTGCAGCTGCTGCAACCACGCGCATACGCGCACCTCATCAAGTGCCTCTTTGGCCTCCTCATGCTTCTTCCACAGGTTTGTTTGTACATGCGTTGTGTGTGCAAGTTGTGTATGTGTGTATGTGTGTGTATGTGTGCGCGGGGTGTTTGTATGTGTGCGTGTGTGTGCGCATAGTGTGTGCGGTGTATACATTGTGTGTGTCTTATTGTGCACATCTGTGTTCATGCTGTGCGCCGGGGGTGCGGTTAGCGTTGATTGTGTGCTGCCCGCTGTGCATTTGCTGCTTGCGTCTCAATTGCCGACTTGCCTTGCCTGCAACAACAGAGCTCTGCATACAACACGCTGAAGAACAGACTGGACTGCATTCCCGCCATCTCCATCGCGCTCGGCGCCCTCGAGTGAGCATCAGCGCCACACGTGCACGGATGCCTGCTGCCTGGTCTTGTTTTGTTTGATTTGTTTTTGTTTTTTTTCACTGCACCTGCCCCTCCTTTGAGCTGCGCATGCCCACAGCCGATTGCATCCCACGCATCTCACGTGGCAGCACATCTCACGCATCTCACGTCAAAACTCACGCGTGACGCACACTCCATGGCATGCCCAGCAGTCAAGGGGACAGCAGTGCGGAGCTGAAGGGGAACATTGGGCTGGATCTTCCGTTTGAGGAGCTGCTGACGCACTTTCATGAGATGCAGCAGAGGCAGGCCAGCACCAAGGACCAGGGCACAGCACCAGGGGCAGCGGTTGCCGTCATGTCCTCCTCCTCCGCCGCCGCCGCCAACACATCCAACAACAATGGCGGCACGACACCAAAACGCACGCAGCCGCAGCAGCAACAGCAGCAGCCGCAGCAAGGCAAGGCATCTGACAGGAGATAGGCGTGCCCGTTATTACATTTTGTTGTTGACGTTACAAGTACATTACATTGCATTACACATTGCATGGCACCAAGACGGGGATGTCTTTTGCTGCGTTGCTGCGCTAAGGAAGGGTGATGGCAGCACTTGTCCAAGCGTCGAGAATACAATGAGCAAAGCAATGAATGAGAGAGTGTGTGTGAGTGTGTGAGTGTGTGGATTGGTGATATGTAGTAGTGTAGAGTGATGTGAGAGAGACTTCTGAGACTTGGTGAGAGAAGAGGTGATGTGAGACTCCAAACAAGCAAACACATGCACAAAACAAACAAACAAACACGCACTCACACACACACCTACACACACACACACACACACACACACACACACACACACACACACACACACACACACACACACACACACACACACACACACACACACACACGTCACCAACCAAAACTTTGACAAGCGTTTGAAAGTTGCGCGGCGGGAAATCATTGTGCAATCGTGGCGAAGAGTGTCGCAATCCACCCAAATTCACACATTCTGCGTGTTGTGTCATCAGCGCGAAGATCGCTGCAACAACAACACCCAACAGCAGCAGCCACAGCACTTACGACACGAGCCAACGTTCACGCCCTCACGCATTACCACCACCGCGCAGCAGCCACCGCGCAACCCCTTGCCAGCGAAGCATCCATTCTTCAAGCATTACCTGCTTTGCCACCTTCACCTTCTCTTCTGAACAACAGCACTACATACAAGCAGCAACAGCATGTCAACGGCTGTCACCGTCACAACAACGACAGCGGCACCGTCTGCGTGTGATTACGACACTGCGGGTGCCCTGCTTGAGATGGCCAAGGTAGCACACCAGGCCCGTGTGGCACCTCAGGTTGGAACTGCGTCGACACCCCAACCACCCAAACACCACCACCACGCACCCGCGCCAGCCCAGGCGGTTCCTGTTGGCCTCGGACCAACCTCAACGAAGATGATGTCTTCCCTGCCGCCCCACCAGAACTTGGTGTCACAGCCTGGCTTCATGGGCCAGGCCTATCCCCCGCATATGGCCGCAGCTGGGCTTCAACTTGATGCGCAGGCAGCGTCGTACCTTCACCATCTCCAGTACCTGCACCACTGGCAATCCATGCAACAGCAGCAGCCACAGCCACAGCAGCAGCAGCAGCCACAGCCACAGCAGCAGCAGCCGTCGACCACCCCTGCTGAGACAATGGCGTCCAAGTCGAGCAAACCGCACAAGCGCGATGGCCGCCGTGCAAAGCGGGCGCCGCGGGCAGCGCGCGGTGCTTCAAAGCGTTCAAATCGGATGGCGACGACGGCAACAACAACAGCAACAACAACAACAGCCACCGTTGACGCCGGTACCGCCACTGCATCCACTGCAGCAACGGCACCAATGCCGGACCCTTGCGTTGAGGGCGTCAAGCCCATCTCGAATCCATCAAACTCGCCCGGACCGTCCGTCTCCCCTGCAGAGCCCGCCACGCCAACCCAAGACGTGGCCACCTCTTCTGCCACCACCTCTGCAACACCACCCACGGGCAGCTCGTCCAAGGCGAATCGAAGGCGTAAAACACAGGTGCCGTCACATACGGCTGCAGAGGAGGCCTACCGCCTCAAGCGCGCGCGGAACAACGAGGCAGTGCGTAAATGCCGGATTAAGAAGAAGCAGGAGATGGAAGAGCGAGAGCGTCTGCTCAAGCAGTACGAACAGAGTAAGTGTGCAGCCGTGCATCATGACGCTGCTGACATTGCTGTCGATGGTGGCGTTCACCGAAGCATACTGCGCGTCCATGCGTCCTCTCTCTCTCTCTCTCTGTCTCTCTGTCTCTCTGTCTCTCTCTGTCTCTGTCTCTCTCTCTGTCTCTCTGTCTCTCTGTCTCTCTCTCTGTCTCTCTCTCCCCCCCCCTGTCTCGCGCGTGCTTTCTTCCCACAAGCGAGCAACTGCCCATTAACACAACACAATGGAACGCACACACGCACACTTGACAGAGGTTGAGCTGTTGACGGCGCGGGTACGTCAGCTGGAACAGCAGCTGGACCAGCCTCGCGTGTGCCCCCATTGTGGCACATCGTCCATATGCGACGCAGCACAGCACTCATCGCCCTCGTCTCCCGCCAGTTCAGGCGATGGTCAAAGCGAGCAGCAGGCCTAACTGATCCTCTTTTGTCTCCACACGAACTGCCGATGAAGCCCAACAAAGGGAGAGACGCACGTGGGGAAGGGATATGCGTGAACGCGTCTCGCCCCATCCCCGCCTCTTTCATCTTTTCTCTCCTTCTGCTTCCTGCTTTGCTCCACCGCTTTCTCAACCGCTCTGCGTGCGTGATTTGATGTGTTGTGGCTTTAGTTGGCTGGTTGGTTGGTTGTTTGGTCCATCACCAGCGCTGATTTGAAATGGGGTTCTCCATTTTCAGCCAGTTTCTTCAGGCTTGCTCGTATCAGCCCTGGCCGCCTCGGCTTCCTTCTCGCCTCTCGCCATCTTGAGTTCTTCCTTGCACTTGTGCTGTTGCTGCTGCTTCTTGTTGTCCTTGCATATCCTGACCGCACTTTCGTGCGTGTGCGTATTTGCCCTCTCCCAGCGCCCCTTTCTGCTTTCATGCTAGCAACACCCTCTGTCTAAACAATCCAGATGAGCGGAACACGTGATGGTGAACGATTTGACACAGAAGTGCGTGTGTGTGTGTGTGTGCGTGTGTGCCTGTGTGTGGTTGAATTCCCTGCCTTGCTTCTATCTTCACCTCCACGCACCGATGTGTGTACGTTTATGCGTGCGCGTGGCGTCGGTTACAGAACGGTTAACGTCGAGCAGACACCCCCACGAGATGACAAAGGAATACAAGTCACCAAAGCTTCATTCGTCAATAGACGCGGTCGTGACGGGCGACTCCCAGAAATCACACGTATCAACCTGCCAGCATGAGCGTGTGCATGTGTGTGCGTGTGCGTTAGTGAGTGAGTGAGTGCGTGTGTGTGTGTGCATATGTGAAGGCGGCACCTAGAGAAACGCATGATAACATGCACGTGTGTGTTGCAGAAGCGCCCTGTTGCTTCTTCCACTTGCCCCCACCAGTGTCGTGTCGATGACGTGGGAGTTTGTGTGCATGGTGCCAACACTCGCTTCACGCGCAACTTGGGCAGCCCGTGATCTGCACGACAAAGATGTTCATGTGTGTGAGTGGAGGGATGCACGCAAAGATCACAGCTTGGCAGCAAACAACAGCATATCCCACAACGCACATCACAGCACAGCATGACGACACGCGAGGAGCAAAATGAGCAACGCACTTTGCTGGCAGACTGAGGCGGTCTTGTGACGATTGGCGGGAGGGCGGTTGCTGTCGAACGCATGACGCAAAGCGCACATTCGGTTGGCGAAAGCAATACGGGACCACTCACACACGTGGCGATATGCGATCGGTGACGCGCACTCAACCAACCAGCCAGCCAAACAAACAAACACAAACAAACAAACAAGCAAACGAGAACAAAAAATGCACAAACGAACAAGTAGACACACACACACACACACACAAACACAAACACACGAACAAACAAACAAACACGCACACACCACACACAAACACAACGTACAGTGCTTGCTGCCATGGTGACGAATGGCGCCTTTGGGGTATGAAGCGTTCGACGTCGCTGCTGTCTCCGCTGCGTAATGCCACCATCGCCACTATCACCACCTTCACTACACTCATTCACATGATGAGCATCACCATCATCGCCACCATCGTCATCACCCCTGGCAACACGCGCGTCTCCAACCAACGCACCGCCCTCGCCTTGCCCTTGCTCCTCTCTCCAAATGCTCGGCCGTCTCAGCGGTGCGCCGAGGCGCTCAACAGCACTGCAAAGCACGTGCATGAATGGGGTGGGGTGAACGCACGAACGTGTGCAAGGTGCGGATGCGTGCGTGCATGCATGCGTGCGTGCGTGTGGGCCTGTGTGTGTCTGTATATGTGTCGACGTGCATGTAGTTTGTGATATCGGTGGCTGCTTGGCTACAAAGCAATAGAATCAACACAGAACGTGAACAGCGGGACAACTGCGCACCTGAGCGTGGCGTTGTTGAGGGTGTCAGGATCGCAAAGCCAGGGGTGGTCGAGCAGCCGTGCAGTTGTCGGGCGCAGTCGCGGCGGTGCACAGAGCAGCGTTGACGTGAACGCCTGTGCACGCTGGCTCACATCATCCCACGCCTCCGGTGGGAACGAATAATCCTTGCAAAAGCGATGAGACAGACACGAAGACCAGAAGAGCACGCATGCGTTTATTGAAGGCGGGGCATGTTGTTGGTGTTGGTGTTGGTGTTGGTGCGTGCGTGCGTGTGTGTGTGTGTGTGTGTGTGTGTGTGTGTGTGTGTGTGTGTGTGTGTGTGTGTGTGTGTGTGTGTTTGCGTGTGTGTTTGCGCGTGTGTGTGTGTGTGTTTGCGTGCGTGTGTGTGTGTGTGTGTGGATGAAGGAAGTGAACGTTTGCCATGTGGTGCTGCTATTTGTCTGGTGTGAGTGTGTTATGGGTCCAAGAAATCACCACCGACACACACCTGTATCAGTTTGGAGTGCACGTCCTGCCCCTGGAATGGGAACGTGCCGGAGAGCAGCACATACAGCGTCACGCCTGTGAAAAACATGTGGTGCAGTGAGCACAATACGGTCGTCACCGGGTGACAATGGGCAATGCTTGGAGATGAGCGACACGAGATGAGCGAGAGAGTGAGTGAGTGAGAGACAAAGACAGAGGGATAGAGAGAGAGGGGGGATAGAGAGAGAGAGAGAAAGACAGAGAGAGAGAGAGTGTGTGTGTGTGTGTGACAAAGAGAGAGAGGGATAGACGGAGGGATGCGAATAGGACGCTCACAATGTGTGAGACTGAACGTCCCATGACATAAAAACAGGGAACATAGAAGCCAACATGCCCATTCGCGCAACGAACCGAGAGACCAGATGTCGCACGCCTTTGTGTAGAAGCCGCCACGTCGACTCACGCGCGGGTGATCAATCTGTGTTTCCGGCGCCTGATACTCGGGCGTGCCTGCATGTGCAGCACGCGGTGTGGTGTGTTGGTGTGGAGGCGAAGGGGCAGGGTTGAAGGTATGGGCAGAAAGAGCAGAGCAGGTTCGGTTCGGCAGAGCAAGTAGGGACATTTCAGGGGAGCGTAGCAGTGCAAACGGTCACACGGACGATTATTTCGCATCACGGACACACACACACACACACACACACACACACACACACACACACACACACAGCCATGCACACACACACACATGCTTTCACATACGCATGTGCCCACAACTGACCACACTCGCTGGCCATGCTGTGCCCGCGGTCGAAGTGTGCAAAGGCCATGTCGGTGAGCTTGACGCGTGTTGCGTCGCCATCATGGCACAACAGCACGTTCTCGGGTTTGATGTCACTGTTGGGAGCGTGCAGCGAGCCAGTGGCCGGCAATGTAGGCAGGGTGGCAGAGGTCAGTGTGTGCGTATGTAATAACACGCACAGTAAGCAGAGGGGAGGCGCCGCGTTCACGAGATGCGTTGGGTGAGCAACATGCTTGCCATGATATGAGCACTGACCGGTGGGCGATGTTCAAGGAGTGTATTTTATCCACGCACTCAACAACCTGACGAAACAGGTTGCTGCAATTGAGGATAGTTGGGCGTCGAAGGTGCGACAGGAAAAGAATGACGTGAGCAGCCCACAGGCGTGAAGAAGCCGTGGACGTATTTGAGAGCTGTGACCCGATGTGTACTTCGAGGGGGGGAGCGAGAGAAAGAACGAGAGGCATTGCGAGACATGGAAGGAGAGATGCTCTCACACGCGAGGATGCCACGCAGCACGCAAACACACAATCACACGTGTCCACCCACAAGCACACACACACGCACACAATCACACACAATCACACACAATCACACACAATCACACACGCACACGCACAACGCACGTTCACATTTACACAAACACACACGCACATGTGCACAAAATCACACGTGTCCACCCACAAGCACACACACACGCACACAATCACACAGTCACACATGTGCACACACACATTCACATTCGCATACACACCTGACAACGCGTTCTGTGTACTGAAAGCCGAGCTGTCGAGCGTGGTCAAATAGTGTGCCACCGTTCATGTACTCGAGAATGATGAGGTGAAAACGAACTGGCTTGTGCGGGTTGTCAGCAAAGTATACGTCGTTCTCATAGGCAGCAATGAGCCGCGTCACGTGGTCAGGACAGTGCACGGTGCAGTAGTGGAGCATGAAGATTTCGTGCAAGCTCACGTCCGATTTGGGCATATACTTGAGGACCCCGAGCTGCAGTGTCAGAGTGGTGTGCCAAGCAACATGAATGAGCACACGTGAGTGAGTGAGAAGCTGCAGCAGTAGACGCTCTTCACTCGCGATGCTAAGACAACGCCCTCGCTGCTCATTGTCACGACAGCAAGGGTGTTGAGTGGCTGTGATGTGACGTAAACGTCAGCTCACGCTTGCATCATCCCACAAGCATCACATCCCGCTCCCACACTTTGTCGTGTCAGCAAGCCACCTCGTGTGTTCGCCGGTGGCGGCAAGTGACGACGTTACGCCCGGCACCGAGCGGGTGTGCCCAATCCACAATAAAGTCGTCCTCCACCCTGCGCCTCAGCACCACTGGCGCGGGAGTGTCGTCTGGGTATGACTGCTCTTCCTCCAGCCCATTCTGAACGAGGCAGTTGCATGCATTTGCGTGAGAAAAACAGCGTAACAAGACGGCTCTATGCACGTGTGCATGAATGTCACGAGTGTTCTTGGCACTGCGGTTAGGGCACATGATGCATGCGTGTTGTCATGGTGGTGATGCGTGTCGTCATGGATGTTGGTTCAAGTCATGTTGTTCAAGCAGTGGGCGGCGCGCACCTCCGAGATCATCATCGTCGTCTTGTTTGGAGAAAACTGGGGGCATGTCGCTATAATTTTCTACAACCGCGACTGGTTGCTGGCTGTTGCGACAAGCAAGAAGGCACAAGACAACAAACGAACGACTGGCTGGACTGCCTCTGCACACACACACGCACACACACACACACACACAATATCGCGCACCCCCTCTCCTCCCTCTCTCCCTCTCTCCCTCTCTCCCTCTCTCCCTCTCTCCCTCTCGCTCTCCCTCCCGTTCTCTGTCTCTGTCTCTTTCTCTCACACATTCACTCACAAACACACACACGTAACACACACACACACACGCACACGTAACACTCACACACATACACACACCTAACAATGTGGTGGATTCGAGTGCTGGGGGCCGTCGGACCGCTGCGGGTGGTAGTGACGCGGGCAACAAAGGTACTGTTGCTGCCAGGGACCATCCTCATTGGGTTTCTCGGAACACAGGCGGAGGAGTACTTTCGAAAGGACAAGATGCTGGAGGACACGAGCCAACCCCCTGCATGGCAGCGACGAAGCAACCGCGACCTTGAAGAAGACGCATAGGATTGAAGAAGAGAAGGCTTATTATGCTTTGCGTGCGTTTGTGGGGGTTTGTTTGCGAGTCTGTGTCTGTTCGTGTGTTTGTCTATTTGTGTGTTTGTGCCCGTGCTCTTCAGCGCGGCGTTTGTGCTTTATATTTGTGGGATGAGCGTTTTGGGGAACTTGGGGACATCAAGGTGAGCCCCCGTCAGTGTGTGTGTAACGGAATTACAATAAACCCCTTGTTGTTACTTCGTTAACTTCTTTCTGCTTGAGTGTATGCGCACTGATGTGAGTGCCACAAGCCGTGTATCATTCTCATATTGATCCCAATACAGCAAGTTGTCGTGTTCAGTTCAATAGATCTGTACTTTATTTTATGTTAGACATTGTTTGCTTGGAGCCAAGTGGCGAGCACGCGCATACGCAGACACACACACACACACGCACACGTGCAAAGCGATGCATGTGCAAGGAAGGACACGCACACACACACGTTGACACACACACACACACACACACATGACGGGCAGTATTCTGGCGTCAGTGTGAACCTGCAGCGCGAACCAGCAGTGCGTCGTCATCATCCGTGTCGTCGTCTTCATCATCATCGCCTTCGTTGTCGCTGCTGGCGCTGCTGCTCGCTGTGCTGCTCAGGGCACTGGCACGCTGTCTCACCAGCGCCCCTCGTTGCTTGAGGCCACTTGCCCCACAACTGCTTCCATCATGGCAGAAACCAACTGCGATGGCGCGCGCAGGTGCTGTCGAGACCGCCGATGCTGTCGCTGCCACGCCCACACCTTCCTCGCTCGCGTCCGGTTGGCTGAAAGCAGCCTGCACCTCTTCGTCAAGCGCACTGTTGGCAGCGCCATCCCCACCGCCAACAACACCGCACGCAGCGACGCGCTTGACTGGAGGCGTGCTTCTGACGAGTACTGTGCTGGTTGTCGGCAGACCAGGCTCCCTGCTGTTGGCGGGCGGACAAGCCTGCGGCTCTTGCCGAAACGCAGTCTTCACAAGGGCCTGTGCCTGTGTGAAGGAGGGCGTGATACAAGGTGAGTCAGAGCGCTCACTACTTGCCCTGCACCCACCCACTCTTACACACACACACACACACACACGCACACCTTGCGGAGGGTTGTGGCAGTGCTGATCCAAGTGACGCAGTGCACGCGCCCTGGCTCATCCTGACAAGCACAACAGAAACACAAACATGTGAGGGGAAAGGCTTGCAGTCACGTGTCACACACACACACACACGCACACACGCACACACGCACACACGCACGCACGCACACACGCACACACACGCACACACACACACACACACACGCACGCACACACACAGAGTGCACACATGCGCACAGTGCGCAACACGGAGACCAGTGAGCATGTGCGGGGATTGCGGTGTCGCACCAGGACGCGGGTGAGGGTGGAAGGAAACGCCTCCTGTTCACTGATGACACGTGCAAAGCAGTGCATCCAGCGCAAACACGTCCTCAAGGCGCACTTGTCAAGCCCTGCAACCGTGCACAAGCAAGGAAGGGTATCATGTGCAGCGTGCGGGCATGATGCGAGCATGAGTGATGAGGGCGACGGTGCGAGGTGATATCGACACACACACACACATACACACATACACACATACACACATACACACAGGCACACACACACACAGGCACACACACACACACACACACACACACACACACTCTCTCTCTCTCTCTCTACCTGTGACGGCGAGGATGTCGATGGGGCGGGTGGCGGAGAGGAGGACGGCGGCGGCGGCCATCTGGCGCGCATCAAAGCGCAGCGCCCACGCATCGGACATGGCCAGCTGCAGCACCTGTTCACGTATCGCGCAGCAGTCGGAGGTGGAGGTGGAAGAGGTGAGAAGGGAAGAACCGATGCCATTCCCTCTGGTTCACACGCATGTGTATGTACACACATGCACACACGTTCACACCTGCCTTCACACACACACACACACACACCTTCACACACCCACACACCCACACCCTCTACCTGGCAGGAGCGGAAGAGCCAGGCCGGGTCGACACAGCTCGGGGCGCTGCCCACTAGCGTGGAAGGGTCACCGAGGGCCACGCCAATGAAGAAACGGGTCCAGTGCAGCGGGGTGCTGCGGATCAAACGCCATTTCAACACCGCAGCAAGGTCAAGCTCAAATTGCGCAATGCCCGTTGGCTGACAGGCGCCATCTGTCAGGCGCGATAGCAGACGCAGCGACGGCACACGCGTCTCCTATTTGACGCACGTGTGTGAGTGTGAGTGTATGTGTATGTGTTTGTTTGAGTGTATGTGTGTACAAATGCAAGCGCATGGATACGTGAGTGCGCACGTTTGACACCGTGTTGATGAGTGCTCTTCACTGTCACACAAACACACACACACACACACACACACTCTCTCTCTCTCCCCCCCCCGGGAGGGTGTAGCGAGCATGCGCAGTGGTAATACCACTGCGACAGAAATCGCACCTCAATCTTGGCGGCAAGGCGCAGGCAGGCGCAGGCCAGCAGCTGCATGTTGGCGACCGTCACGGCACCATGGCGCACTGAACACATGCACATTCGCGTGCAGCAGGAATGGCGTGTGAGGCGTGAGCAACAAGTGCACCAACAGCCCACACACACACACACACACACACACACACACACACACACACACACACACACACACACACACACACACACAGCACGCACCTGAGCAGTAGGTGTCAAAGTAGGTGATGGCGAAGAAGAGTGTGTCGAGGGTCATGCGCGCGCGATCGCAGACATCGGCGAGCCAGTGGAACACGCGTGCGCGGAGGCGCGGAGGCATGCAAGGCTGCATCTTGAGAGCATTGATCGACACCTCGCACGAGGCCAGTCGTTGCTCAAGCACACGATAGTCTGCAGCACATGCACACACATGGATACACACACACATGGATGCACACACACACACACAACACATGCAAAGCCAACAGCAGCGAGTGAGCAATACCAGTGCGCCCACGAGACACAGTACACTAAATATCGACAAGTAGAAGACACACGTGCCGACGCGACCACACCAAGTATGCGACGCAGCAAAACCAATCAACAACACCAATCACACATTGTTGGGCTTCAGGAAATTTGATGGCCACCGGGTACAAGGTTGCTGTGTGAGTTGTGGTTGATCGATGGGACGATGCCGAAGGCGCTTGCTTGAGTGGAAACGGCAATAGAGATGCAGACGGCGACGAGGTCGAAGACGGTGATGGTGTTGGAAAGAACACGCTGCGGTTGCCTGCTGACGTGCTGGCAGCGGCGGCTGTCGTGGCGGCAGTGGCGGGATTGGAGGACGACGGCTTGAATGAGGCACCCGAAACCTGCGATGGTGCAGCTTGGGCCGTGCTGACGCTGCTTGCCTTTGTCACACGGCCAGGCTTGTTCTGCAGCGAGAGGGGCTTTGGTGTCTGTGCTCTGGCGAGCGGAACATCGCCCAGGCTGACGCTGCGCTTGTACCGCATGCGCCGGGTGAGCAAGGACGCATCAGCCATACGGACAGTGATCTTGTGGTGTTGCGAGCGTGCGCCTGGTGTTGCTGTTGCTGCTCCTGCTGCTGTCGACGTTGAAGACGATGAAGCTGATGATGCGACTGCCGATGATGCTTCGACTGTTGCTTCTGTTGCTGTTACGGTTGCTGGGGTAGCTGATCCTAGTGTTGGGGTGGTTGCTGGTGTACTTGCAGGAGACGCAGCGAGCCTGCTGTCACCCAAACCGGGCAAGGGGTGCATGCGTGCCTGGACCTTGTGGCGCGGCGTTGTCAACTCCAGCGGCACAAGCGCGAGAGCCGGTGGACGTGGCCGACTGGAGAGTGCAGACACAGACATGTGCGCACGTTTCGGGGTCAAGTCCCCTTCTTCGGTTGTCAAGGCCCGGGTTGTTGCCAATGCAGCTTGTGTGTTTTCTGTAGCAGCAGCAGCTGCTGCTGCTGCTGTTGGCACGCCTGTTGCTCTTCCTGTGGTGCTGGTGCTGGTGCTGGTGGTTATGGTTGTGGGAGGGCCTGGTTGGCGCCAATTCCTGTCGATGCCTAGCCGATCACTCCTGTCGCTTGTACTTCTTCTTGCACTCCTCGTTACGCCGTTGTTGATGGTGTCGTTGTTGTTGTTGTTGGTGGTGGTGGTGGTAGTGTTGTTGGTGGTGGGGCTGTTGTTGTTGTGGTCCGCGCCATCGCTGCTGCGACCGGTGTGGCTGCCTGTGCTAGCTCTTCTGCCGGTGGTTCTGCTTCGTCCAAGACGTGCCTCAAACACCTGAACAAGATGGGGAAGAGAGAGTCGATTGCGGAAATGAGAAAGCGCGCGCAGGGCCGTACACGAGCACGCGCGAATGTGTTATTGTGGTCACAGAGGGAGAGAGGGAGAGAGGGAGAGAGAGAGAGAGAGAGAGAGATGATGGCGCCCACAAAGTATCCAGCAGTTGGATGGCGCCACCTCCGCGACTACTCGCGTGGCAACAACACGAACTTGTCGACAGGCGCGCACATGTGTTATGTTCACACACACACACACACTCTCCCCCCCCCCCTATTGTGTCTGTGCGGCAACACCAGGCCGGCGTGGGCGCGCTCACCTCTCTGATGCTTCGGCGCCTTGGTTTGGTGGTCGGCTTCATCTGGGTCATGATGGTGGCTATGGTCGATAGTGTACCAGTACACCCGTGTCCACTGCTGGGATGAAGAAGGGGGAAGCAAAGATGCGCTGAAGCGGAGGAGGGGGGGAATGTCTGAAGAAGGCACGATCCAGTTGCACGATCGATGAATGTGATAATAATGATGTTGTCTACTCGACAGAAGCCACACTCACAAGCCTGACGATGGACAGAGAAGAAAGAGAGGGAGGAGGGGCGCCAAGCCACTACTACGCATGGGCTTGATATGTGGTGGGATTCTTTCTGGCTTGAGCCGCAGCAAACAAAAACAAATGACTGCCGACTCTGTGGCCTCAATAGATAAAGCGGGCGGGTGCTGTGTTGTGCGTGCTGTGTGTGCTCGTGGTGTGTGTGTCTGGTGGTGTTCCCCGCCTTTTTCCTGGTTCGGCGGCTTTTTGGTTTGCCGTCGTTGTCTTGGCGCGCGCGCCAGTGGCGAGTTTTCCGGACAGCGCAGCGGCGTGGTGTTGTCAGCAGCAGGTGTTGCTTGTGTGCATCGAATCATCTGTAAGGAAACGAAAACCACGCAAGAGCAAAAGGGCAGAAGAACACACACACACGACGGAGCACACTTCGCAGCCACCACGTCGCAGCATCATGTTTGAGGTGTTGATGGAGGTTTTGTTTGGACGGGTGATGGCCTTGGTCTATCACCCCCGCCAGCTGCCCGCAGCAAACGCTGCCGTCAAGGGAAAGGTGCGTCATGTGTGCATCGCGCGCGCGCGCGTGTGTGTGTGTGTGTATTGCACGTGTGCCTTTGCGTTTGTGCATGTCAACCTGAGCACAGTGAGTGGTATTGGAGCACAAAGGTCCCTTATGGTTTCAACCTGTCCCTCCCTCTCACTAGCCCATCTTCACACACACACACTTGTTGTTTTGCTTGTGGACGTGGGGTGAAGGTGTATGTGGTGACAGGAAGCACGAGCGGAATCGGGCTGGAAACAGCAAAGCGGCTGCTGCTCAGTGGAGGCCGCGTGATCATGGCGTGCAGAAACACAAAGAAGGCAGAGGCCCTCTTGCAGGAGTGGGCACAGGAGCACCCTGGCATCGTTGGAGACGTCTTGTACCTGGATCTGGGCAGCATGGCCTCCGTCAGAGAGTTTGCAGAGCAGCTCAAGCAACGCACAGACCACATTGACTGCCTCATCCACAACGCAGGCCTCTTCGACATGGTGTCAGAGGTGTGTATACATTTTCCGCGTGGGTTTTTGCAACTTCTTCACTGGTGGTTCTGTTCCACGTTGTCGTGCGTATGCCGATGTTTGGTCAGGGAATGCAGCGCGCACAGCTGTGAAGCTGTTGCGTGGTGTGGAGTGGTTGCGCTGGCTCACACATCTGTTCACGCACAACATCACCTATCTCGCAGTATCAAACCACAGACGATGACTTTGAGATTCATTTCCAGGTGATTTGAACCTTGCAAGAATACAGGCCAACATGTATGCCGTGCTATCTTGCTTCGCTGCAGCTTGGTGGCCTCCAATTTCACTGATGCTGTTCACACATACACACACACACAAACCAACACACACATACATACATTTATACACACACATGCACACACAAATACATACACATTCACACACACACACACACACAAACACACACTCTCTCTCACCCACTCACTTGATGCTTCGTCACCCTGCACGTGCATGTCTCTTCTTCAAGATCAACTACATTGCCCCGCTACTGCTTACCTCGCTTCTCCTCGACACGCTCGCCAAGGCGCCGGTGCGTGCTGTGTCTTCGTCGTGTGGCAAGTGCTTTCTGCACCTTGACTGCCGAAATCTCTCTCTCTCTCTCTCTCTGTCTGTCTCTCTCTGTCTGTCTGTCTCTGTCTGTCTCTCTCTGTCTGTCTGTCTCTGTCTGTCTCTGTCTGTCTGTCTCTGTCTGTGTGTGTGTGTGTGTATGTCTGTGTATGTCTGTCTGTGCATGTCTGTCTCTCTCTGTCTCTCGTCAGCATTGGCAGCACGTGCTGAGGCCACCTTCACATCCACACGCACGCACGTACACGCATGCAACTCACACACGCACACACACACTCACACATACACACACACACACACACATCGGCGGCAACGTCGTGCAGGCGCCGCGGATTGTGAATGTGTCGTCGTTAGCGCACAAGTTTGTGCAGCCAGCACTTGATGACTGGCAGAGCGAGCGTGATCACAGCCCACTCAAGGCATATGGACGCAGCAAACTGTACCAAGTGATGATGACAAAGGAGCTCCAGAACAGGCTGGCAAAACAGCCACAATACGCCCACATTAAGGTACACAGCCGTCTTGTATGTGTACGTGTGCGTGCATGTGTGTGTGTGCGCGCGCGCGCGCGTGTGTTTGTGTGTGAGTTGTCGTCCTTGTGTGCAGTTGCTGCTGTTGCTTCAAGGAAGCCCGACTCCATCTCATGCCATACACACACACGTACAACCAATCGCACATGCATGCAGGTGTTTGCGGTGCATCCTGGGACGGTTGTGACGGATGTGGCGCGGTCGCTGCCGCCTGTTGTTGTGTGGGCGTACAAGAACCTGGCGAGTCTTGTCATGATGGACTCCCACACAGGTTCCGACACAACCGTGCACGTGGCAACAGACCCGGCCCTGGACAAGCGATTTGGAGGTGCTTCTGCTGTTGCCATTGCTTGCGCTCAAGTTTGCTTAAGTCGTGTGCGTGCTTGCCTGCCTGCCTGTCTGCCTATCTATCTGCCCGTCTGGCTGGTTGGCTGGTTGGCTGGTTGGCTGGCTGTGTGTGCGTATCCACTTGCCCACTTGTCTGTGTCGATCTGTACGAGAGAGTGACGTTGCTGCCACAACTTGCGCGAGCACCTCACCTCCCACCCTCCCTCCAATTCACCCCCACCGCCATTCACCCTCACCGCACGGCGGTGCTGGTGTGCATGCAGGCGACTACTTTGCGAATTGCGTCACGGCCGAGCCGCACGCAGCGGTGCGCGACCAGCAGCTGCGACGCGATTTGTGGACCAAGACCGAGGACACGCTTGGACGACCCATCATCCCGACCAAGCAGACGGGCACTGCTGCAAACGGCCACCACGACGAAGCACAGCAGCAACAGCAGCAACAGCAGCAACAGCAGCAACAGCAGCAATAGCAGCAGCAGCAGGAATGTTGGCTGGGGTCCATTTGGGGACTGGTGTTAGGGATGTGGTTTGTGGTGGCCGTGTGCTGTGCGTTACGCTAACTCCGTGGTGTAACATGATGTGACGGATGCGAGTGACACTGTGATGGCGACATGACGCCCTTTTCATTTGTTGTGCAATTTAATTTCAACCACTGACTGGCAATATAACAGTTGACAGCCGTCCATGGTGATCGCCTCAAACCAATGTGGCCTGGAGCTGTTCCTACCAACACATGTACAGCAAAGTTGTCACACAAAAGCACATGCACGCGCACACATGCACATGCACACGCGCCCGCCAAGGCTGAACAGCGGCTCTTGCGTTGAAAATACACATGAGGTGAAGGCACCAGTTGCACAAGCACGTGCATGTGCTGTGGCAGAATGCAACGATTGACATATGCACCCATGCAAATACACGCATGTTCACGCGACACACATGCACGCGTGCAACGGTGTTCCTTGATCCGTCCATCCACGAGCACCGGCCTCCTCTTTCCAATACATCCCCTACCTCTCACCACCACCACCATCACCATCATCATCATCATCAGCAGTAGGAGCAGCATCACCGCCTTGATGCCTTTGCGTCGTTTGGTTTCCGCCGGCGCTTCACCTTCACCAGCGCCGCCACCGTCAGCGTCACCTCCCGCCCCGACGCAGACACCAGGCCCATCACCTGCTCGTGTGTTGCACGGGAAACGTCGATGCCGTTGATGGCGAGCACGCGGTCGTGCGGGCGTAACCTCCCGTCCCTGTCCGCAACGGCGCCCGGCTTGATTGCCTTGATGAAGATGGCGTGGTCCTTGACAGGGTTGCCGCTGCGCGAGGCAGACTGCGCCGCCACAATGGTCAGCCCAAACGACTCTGTCGGCTCGCGCCGCAGCGTGACATCGTGCCGCTTGGAGAAGATCTCCACGCGGAAGCTGTCCTTGCGGAAGAACTGGTAGTCCTCCGCGTCCTCCGCCGCCTCCGGCTGCTGCTGCGCGCCGTTGTGGTGGTGCGGGTGGTGCTGCGAGCGGGTGCTGTTGTAGCGCATGCCCTGCGCCTCGTACATGGCTGACTGCAGTACATCGTCGTGCGACGTCAGCTGATCTGCGTTTGATGAGCCGCGAAGTAGTGGAGGTACAATGCGGACGGACGAGGTGCAAAGAAGAGAGGGAGTGAGGAGAGGGAGTGAGGAGCGAGCAAAGCAGTCAGGAAGGAGAAGTATGTAACAACACACGCCCAACACACAAAAGAGCATTGAGTAGCATGTGGTGGTGGAATGTAGGCGGAGGGCACGCAGTGCAAGGCGTGGGTTTCAGCTGTTGTAGATCCAGTCAAGCATTGGCACATTGCCACTGCTGGCAAAGAGAGATGACATAGTTGACCTTGCCAACGTACGTAATGCGTCGGCGTATTTGCTCGTGCTGTCATCTGTCTCCATTGGATCACCCCGGACCTGGCGCACCAGCAGCGTCACCCGCTTCTCCAAATCGTCCAACTGAATGAAGCAAGGGCGCGACCAGAAGGATGTGAGAGAGTGTGACAAACAAAACACAAAACCTGAAGGCCGCCGCCACTCACGTTTACACACACACATACACACACACATACACACACACACACACACAGACACACACTCACTCTGTTGGACATCATGTCGATGGCGCCCGTTGCACGTTCTCGAAAGCTTTCGCTGGTCTGTTTCAAGTTGAAGATGGCGACATCTAGCTCGTCCAACTGCCGACTACTTCCCCCGCCCATCTTCGTGTTGATGTGTGTGTGTTTGAGGGAGAGAGACACACACAGAGACAGAAAGAGAGAGAGAGAGTGTGTGTGTGTGTGTGTGTATGTGTGTGCGTGTGTGTGTGTGTGTGTGTGTGTGTGTGTGTGTGTGTGTGTGTGTGTGTGTGTGTGTGTGTGTGTGTGTGTGTGTGTGTGTGTGTGTGTGGATGCGATGTGATTCTGCGCTTGAAGTTTGGAGCTTTGGTGAATGTTTCCCGCTGATTTTCAGCAAACACAGCGACGATGAGTGAGGTGCGACGACCTGCTGTTGTCATGATGGGTTGCTGTTGTTGTGGTGGTGGTGGCGTCCTGCACCTCGCCTTCGCCTGTCGAATGCGCCTTGTTTGACGAGTGTGGCTGCCTGCGACAACACTTAGATGCAACGCAACCATATGCCTGTCTGTGTATGCGCAGCAGGGAGCTGCAGAGGCAACGACAGCCGTATCGGCGTCGTCGGTGCCCACAGATGTCGTGGTTGCAGTGACCGGCGCATCCGGGTTTGTTGGATCCACGTGCGTGAAGCAGTTGCTGGAAAAGGGGTACACCGTGCATGCTGTTGTGCGCGACCCAAGCAACACAGACAAGGTGCAGTTCTTGAAGGACATGGTGCAAGGGGACGACGAGCACCGGGTGCAGTTGTTTGCCGGTGACCTGGATAATGAAGGGTCCTTCGACGCTGCTTTCAAGGATGCCACCTATGTCATTCACACAGCGGCAAGCGTCGCTCTCACAGCTCGAGGTTTGGCCCCAGTTGTGTCTATTTGCTTGCTTGCTTATATTTGTTTGCGTGCTTGCTCGCTTGCTTGTATTTGTTTGCTTGCTTGCTTGCTTGCCTCCTCGCTTCCTTGCTTACTTGATGTCTCTATCTCTCCTTCTCTCCCTCTCCCCTCTTATTCTTTGTTTTTGTTTGACTCTGTCTGTCCCTGCCCTTCCTCTCTCTATCTCTTTATCTTCGCCGCCTCGACCATGTGCTGTTGACGCACACGTTTGACCCGCTTGCTTCAACACTTACAGCTTGCTTGTTGTGCGCTGTATTGTGTGGTTCCTTTGGTTTGGCCGTTAGATCCGCAGCGTGAGATTGTCGACCGCAACGTTAACGGTATGGTGAACGTCCTCACCTCGTGCCGCAAGTATGCCAAGGAAGGTCAGCTGAAGAAGGTCGTGGTGACATCCTCTGTTGCCGCCATCGAGGTGCGTGCGTGCGTGCGTGTGTGTGTGCGCGCGCGCGCGCGCGCGTGTGTGTGTGTGTGTGTGTGTGTGTGTGTGTGTGTGTGTGTGTGTGTGCGTGGGCATGTGTGTGTGTGTGCGTGGGCATGTGTGTGTGTGTGACTGTTCATGTATCTCGTTTCAAGTGTCTCTTTCCTCGCTCCATGTTTGTGTCTTCTTCAAGAGTGTTCATGTTTGTGTGCTTGGTGGTGCATCTACGAACGCCCGTTCCTGCACCTTTTTCCGGCCACATGACCTCACACCCACTTCATTCACTACTTCTCGTTTCCCTCACCCACAGAACACACAGCGCCCGCCTGGCCACGTGTACACGGAAGACGACTACAACGACAGTGCAGATCCGGCACGCGACCCCTACCAACACTCCAAGTACCTGAGCGAAGTGCGTGCGCAGCAGTTTGTGGACGATTTGTCCGACGACGAAACGTTTCAGATTGCATTTATCAACCCGGGTGCCATCTACGGCCCGTTGCTCGCCCCACACCACCTCACAAGCAGTCCGCAGATCATCGCAGACCTCATGGTGTGTTTGAGGGTGTGTGTGTGTGTGTGTCTGTGTGTCTGTGTCTGTGTCTATGTGTATGTTCATGTGTGTGTCTGTGTTTGTGTGTGTCTGTGTGGTTGTGTGCCTGTGCGCGCGCGCGAGTGAGCAAGTGTGTTCATGTGTCTGTGTGTGTGCCCGTGAGTGTGTGCGTTGGTTATGCTTGACTTGCAAAATACGAAGCACGCGCGCGTGTGGCCATCCTTGTTGCGGAGGCTCTTCATTGGCCAATATCAACGCATTCACTTGACACATGCACGTGTATGTGCAGACGGGCAAGTTTCCCATGGTTCCACAGCTGAGTTTCCCATCGGTGGATGTGCGGGATGTTGCAACGGCGCACATTCAAGCCATGGAGTCGGATGCCACAGGTGCTTTGTCGCGCGCGTGTGTGTATGTATGAATGAATGTATGTGTGTATGTGCGTATGTATGTATGTATGTATGTATGTATGTATGTATGTATGTATGTATGTATGTATGTATGTATGTATGTATGTATGTATGTATGTATGTATGTGTGTGTATGTATATGTGTGTGTATGAATGTATGTATGTGTGTATGTATGTGCCTGTGCCTGTGCCTGTGCCTGTGCCTGTGTACCTGTGTTTGCGTTTGCCAACCTGCATGTCTCTGTTTTGTGTTAATTCTCCGTTTCTGCTATCTGCTCACATGCGCGCACGTGGTGTGATGTTGTGCAGGGCGGTTTGTGTGTGTGGAGAACACATACTCCATGCAAGAAATATCCACCCTCTGCAAGGAAGACCTTCCACAGGTGTGTGTGTGTGTGTGTGTGTGTGTGTGTGTGTGTGTGTGTGTGTGTGTGTGTGTGTGTGTGTGTGTGTGTGTGTGTGTGTGTGTGTGTGTGTGTGTGTGTGTGTGTGTGTGGTGCTCGTCATTCTCGTCTCTGCTTTGCATCTCTCTTGAACCAATTTGGGGTTAAGCGACAATACATTCGTCGGCTTCCTTACACGCACGCACACACATATACACACACATCCCCATGTACAGTACGTGTTTCCGACCCGGCGCCTGCCCAACTTCCTCATGTACATCACCGCTCTCTTTGACAAGCGCGTCACCCTCCACTTTTGCCGCCAGAACCTTGGCAGGGTGCGTGCATGTGGATGTGTGTGGATGTGTGTGTGTGTGTGTGTGTGTGCGTGCGTGTGTGTGTGTGTGTGTGTGTGTGTGTGTGTGTGTGTGTGTGTGTGTGTGTGTGTGTGTGTGTGTGTGTGTGGTTTCTCGCTGCGCACATCTTCCCCTTTCATGCTGCTTACTCTCCCCCCCCCCGCCATACACATCGTGCAGCGGGTGGTGTTTGCGAATGACCGCATCAAGAAGGAGCTTGGCGTGTCGTTCATTGGTGGCAAGGAGTCGTTTGTGGCCACCGCCCACTCGCTGCTGGACCTGGGGCTTGTTGAGCGCAAGTGATACGCTGGCTGCTTTGCACCACGCCTGTGTGACGTTATTACATGACATGACGACTCTGTTCATCCACTTTCCACGTCTAGACACATGAACACCATTCATCACCATCATCATCATCAACATCGAAGAAAGACACGTGTTGGTCAAGAACGCAAAGCAAACATTATCATCACATCACATCTCACATTCCACATCTGCGGGACGGGCGTGAATGGAGGAAGCGCAGGCCTCGCAGCTCACTGGCAGGTGGTGTGGTCGTGAGGAGAGTGAAGCTGTCGTTGAGACCACGGAGGTGGAGGTGGTGACGACAGAGGTGGAGAGTGAATGCGAAGAGAACCCCAACGAAGTCCCGCACAAACATCTGGCAACCGCCATCTATTGGTGGAAGGACACAGACTGGCACACCACATGCACGCTGTCACGCTCCATCCTCTTGTACGTCTGCCCCAGCCAGTGCGATACGATGTGATGTGTGTGTGTGTGTGTGTGTGTGTGTGTGTGTGTGTGTGTGTGTGTGTGTGGTGTCATTTGGGCACCATCACTGGCATCATGCCTTCTGTGTCCAACTCGAGTGATTGCCGCTATGGCTGCACGTCTTTTGACGCCCTGTCGATCGCCACCACCACGAACAGAGACACTGGATCGCTGGTGAGTCGGCGGTACAAGCGCAAGATGAAGAAGCTGCAGCGCCGCCGGAAGCACCTCCACAAGAGGCAGGAGCTCGCCCAAGACGATGACAACGGCAGACACGACACGGGCGCAGCGAATATGGGCGCGGATGCAGGCGAGGCTGCAACAGCCAGCCCCACAAGCGCTGCACTTGCCGAGAAGGAAACAAGCCATCACAGCGCTGTGCCCCAAGTCGCAGAGCATGAAGAGGAGCATAAAGAGGCGGCGGAGGTCGACGAGGATGAGGAGGCAAAGCTGATGCTCGCCATGGGACTTCCTGTTGCATTTACGGTGTGTTGCGCTGATGTGCAAGTCCGTGTTGCTGCGCGCCTGCGGTGCTGGCCACTGGCACGTCATTGCCCGCTCACCTCCTCGTCCCTCACGACACACAACGCGCACCACACAACACACGATCACTCACCCGTGGCAGAACACAGATCGCGCCCAGGGTGCAAGCGACGGTGAGCCAAGGCGAAAGAAGCCCAAGCTCCAGCAGAAGTAAGGCTGCTGCACTGAACACCACCGATCACATTGGTATCGCTTCGTGCGACAAACCCAGCACTACACACACACACACACACACACACACACACACACACACACACACACACACACACACACACACACACATACACACACACACAAGCTATTCACCATGTGTGTTCGTGTTCTTCGTACACCTTGCACCCGACTCCCATCACGCACGCGCAAACATTCACACTCACACGCGTGCGTGCACGCGAAACAGGAGGGCGTGCCCTGTGCTGCGGGATGTGTGCTCGGACTGGCGGCTGATTGCGAACGAGAGCGCGGCCGAGTGGCGACAGTACTGGGCAGGCATGTACGACAAGGCGATGTTGCAGCACGTGGATGCCCTCGTCGCAGCATCCACCGTCGACGCCACCACCACAATGGAAGATGTGTCTTTGTGGGAAGCGCGGCACGCGTGGCTCGCGCGCATGGCGCAAGACAAGTGCTCGTGGTTGCGGGCATACAAGCAGCAGTTCTGGCGGTACTTTCGCTTCTATTGGCAGTGGCGGTGGCAGCAAGCGTTTCCCCAGGACGCAGCGAGGCTGCGGCGACTCAAAGCGAAGCGGCAGCAGCAGCGGGAGCAACAGCGCCAGTCAGAGGTGGAGGGCAGGACGAAAGCGGAAGGTGGTGTTGCAGATGGACAAGCGGGCGAGAACGAACAGAGGCGTACAGACGACAGTGATGGACCGCAGCAGGAATTGGAGGGGGAGGAGGGGTGTGGTGATGGTGATGGTGATGGTGAGTTGCAGGTGCCTGAAGAAACGTGGGCGGAGGTGCGAGACATGTACCGCGACCTTGGGTTTGTGGCGTCCATGCAACCGTCCACGACGGCCAAAGGAGTGCACATTGTGTTTCATGACCTGGACGACGTGCAGGATGTTTATCGTGAAGAGGACCAAGCGGCGACTGTTGGAACTCGCACAGAAGCCGTCTCAGCACAGGGCAACGGCGGCGATGACGGTGGGAGTGGTGATGATGATGATGATGATGATGATGATGATGATGATGATGATGATGATGATGATGATGATGATGATGATGATGGGGAGGAGGAGGAGGAGGAGGAGGAGGATGATGGCGAAGGAGAGGAGAAGGAGAACGAAGATGAGCAGGAGGAGCAGGCTGAGACCGGTGGTGGTGGGAGCGACGAGAATGATGCATTGGAGAGGACCAACGACAACACCAGCGCTAGCGACAGCGACAACACCAGCACTAGCGACAGCGACAACACCAACACTAGCGACAGCGACAACAGTGAGGCGGAGGATGAGGAGGCGTTAGGTGAAGCCGAAGCACGTGCTGCGGTGCAGTTGGCGACGCAGGTGCATGCGGCCACGGGCGCAGCTGGAAAGAACGAGACGGTGCTCAAGTACTGGATGCAGCGGTTTCGCCTCTTCTCGCGGTTTGACCGGGGTGTGTTGTTGGACGAGGAGAGCTGGTACTCGGTGACCCCCGAGCGCATTGCCCGCCACCATGCTCAGCGCTGCCGCTGCAAGGTGCTGGTGGATGGGTTCTGTGGCGTGGGTGGCAGTGCCATCCAGTTTGCCCGCACCTGCGATCGCGTCATTGCCATTGACATTGACCCAAACAAAATCAACTACTGCCGGTGCGTATGTGCGTGTGTGTGTCTGTGTGTGTCTGTGTCTGTGTGTCTGTGTATGTGCGTGTGCGTGGTGTCTGTCTGTGTGTGTGTGTGTGTGTGAATGGTGTATGATGGTGTCTGCTTCTCCTTGTCTCGTCCTCCTCCTCCTCTCGTCCTCCTCCTCCTCGCCCTCCTTCTCGTCCTCCTCCCTCTCCTTCACCCCGCCTGTGCTCCGCCTCAATTCACCTGTACTTTTACCTCAGACCCCCCCTATGATTGTCTGTGCCCTAACGAGATTTGACAATGCACGACAACCGAACCAGGATACGGCACCGTAGTTGAAGCAAAGTTTTGCGACTCATCCATTAAGTTGTCCCAATTACACTGGAATGGGCTGACAATCAGAACAACGGCCGGGGCCCAGTAGCACTTAAAATTTCCAATGTTAACATCTTCAAGAAGGAAAACCTAGCCTCGGTATATATTGTTTCAGGTGGAATCTGAGACCGGCGCTCCAACTTCTACCTCGTACGCACACGTGCGCCCACCACTGCACCCCCCACCCCACACACACACACGCGCGCGCGCGCGCGCGCGCGCATCTCAAAGGCACAATGCCCGGATCTATGGCGTTGAGGACAAGATTGAGTTTATCACGGGCGACTTCTTTGAGGTGCTGCCGCGGCTGCGTGCGCGCATGGAGATTGACGTTGTGTTCCTGAGCCCGCCATGGGGTGGGCCAGACTACCTGCAGCACCGCGAGTACCGGCTGGCGTGGATGGAGCCCAACTTCCAGCGCATGGTGACGGCGGCTCGCAGCGTCACGCAGAACGTGGCCATGTTCCTTCCCCGCAACACGTCCCTCGATGACCTCATTGCGCTCTGCAAGCAGCCGGTGCAGGCCGCTGGCGCGGCAGTGGGTGAGACGGGCGCTTGTGACGTTGTTGCGACCGCGTTTGAGGTGGAACACAACTACCTCAACCGCAAGCTTAAGACCATGACCGTCTATGCTGGCCCTTTGTGGCAACCAGCGCAGGCGGTGACGTCAGTGGCACAAGAGGAATAAACGCCAAAGCTCGAGCAATGCATGGTGTAGTGTGGGAGTGTCGCAAGCAGGTGAAAGAACCGCTTTGTTCCCCCTTGTTGTTTGCATGCATCACACATACACACGCACCGCTTCAAACGCACACCCAAACACGCACAACTCACCGCAAAAGTCAGTTCTGCTGGCAAGTTCCGACAAATTTTGTCGTGCGCACTTCAAGAACGTTCCTTGCCTCATGTATGTGCCGCTTTTTTGTTTCCTGTCTTGTTTTGCTTGTGATGTGACGTGGCCGGCTCGAAGTGCACACAATTCCCACACAGCCCAATGTCAACGACGCCAACGCCACAACCAACGCACGCAAACGCAAGCAACGGCTGCCGTTACACGCACACAACTCGCACGGCTGCGCCACACGCGTCTCAACCTCACGTGTCTGGTCGCGTAGCTTCGGTGGCGTACTGTTGCGTTGCCGGCCTTTGAAACGCGTACGCCTTGCTGCTGATGCGCTTAAATGTTCTGGTTGACCCCGATCGCAAAATTTAATCGAAAACATGTGCGTGACGTGGCCAGAAACGGTTTTGCTGTGTTTGCCCGCAAAGCTGTGGCGTGCCCCCATTCCCTCCAACTTTCGACAGAAAATTAGAGGGCGTGCAGGACGCATGACTTACGGGGGTCAAGGAGCTGTTGCTGCCGTTTCGCTGGTTTCCCCTCGCAAGCTCGCCCTACATTTTTTTTCCCTTTTGGCTCACTTCGTGCATTGGCTGTTGTCAGCTGCCTTTTCCGTTCTCCATCCATCCATTCTCTCTTTCGGGACCACCCTCGCACCATCAAAGCAACCGACAGCCAGCTATCACAACAGAACAACAACAACAACAGAACAACGCCAACAGCGCAGCAAGCCCCTCGCTCGAGCGCGCGCTCTTTCTCTCTCTTCCGGCGTGCGTTTTCACCACACCCACAACAACCACAAACCGCCAGCAAAACAACGCTCGCCCGATCTCGGTGCGTGTTCGTCCTGGCAATGGACCAAGGGGGAGATAGACTTGCTTGTGGACTCCAACAAAGTTGCTGGTGTTGAGATGGTTGTGTGGGTGACTAATGATGTCGGTGGTGGTCGTTGGTTGGTTGGTTGGTTGGTTGGTCGGTTGGTTGGTTGGTTGGTCGGTGGGGTGTTCTTGCCGTTTGGTTGCCTTGGTGGATTGTTCACGAACAATATCATGTGCCTTTACACCCCACGCAGAACCCCCACGCAATTGCCTTTTGCTCGCAAACCAAACCTATCCCATACAAGTCAACGTCAAAAGACAGGTCAGCACCCTTTCTGCTTGTATTGTGTGTGTGTGTGTGTGTGTGTGTGTGTGTGTGTGTGTGTGTGTGCGTGTGTGCGTGTGTGTGTGTGTGTGCGTGTGTGTGTGTGTGTGTGTGTGTGTGTGTGTGTGGAGCCTACTTTCCTTGCCTTCCCATCCCCCTCTTCCTATTCCTTCACTTACTACTACTACTACTCCTCCTCCTCCTCCTCTTGCTGCTTCTCCTCTCTCTTCCTGCTCCCTCACAAACCCTACCTCTCAACCAACATGGATCAAACCGTACACCATTGCCTACGCACGCAAATGCATACCATACGCGCACGCACACACAACAGAGCGCTGACTTTGGTTCAACAGCAACAAAGCAGCATGGATTGGACGCAACACCAAGCACACGCGCAAGCAGCGCAACAACAACAACAACAACAACAACAGCAGCAGCAGCAGCAGCAACAGCCACGACAGCTCCCTCCCGGCACAGCAGCGTTCATGCAAGCACAGCAACCGCCAACAGCGCCCCACATGATGGTCCCCTTGAACAACGAACAACTCCTCCTACACTTGCAGCAGATGCGACAGCAACAACAGCAGCAGCAGCAGCAGCACAGTCAAGACCAAGGACGCTCCGGCCCACAACAACAGCAGCAAGCACAGCACTCGCAACAGGCGTTGTTTTCTCCCGGTGCATACGCGTTTTCAGAAGGGCAGACAATGGAGGCACTGCAGACAGGGGTGCTGCCCCACCTCTCACGCCACTTTGCCGCCATGCACCAGCAGCAATCGACACCATCAATTCCAAAGCCCACGCCGCAGAGCGCATCAGCACAGACCCAGGTGGGCATCCCCATGCCCTCCCAGCCGCAGTTGGCAGGGGGCGCCGTCTCTACTCCGCCATCATGCGCCGTGTCAGCATCGCCATCGGCCATTCCTGTGCAGCCCCAGCTGCTCAGCGGCATGTTGCCCAGCCAGTCGCACGCACTCATGTCGCACATGGCTGCACTGCAGCAGATGATGTACTGGAGGCAGCTCCAGGCCCAACAAGGCCAACAACCGTCTGCAGACACACCAACGCCAGCATCGACCTCGTCTATCACCGTCGCGCCTTCATCGGCGCTAACGCCTGGTTCTGCTCCAAACGCCACGACTAGCCAGGCAACGAGCCTAGGGGCACCCACAACAGCCACCACCTCAGCGTCAGCCCCCGGCCCTCCCCAGGACATGCCCTACCCCATGCCCATGCCAATGTCGGCCTATATGGTACCGGGTATGCCGTACAACATGGGTGGCTGGCCGGCCTATGCAGGGGGCTCAGCACACATGGCGCACATTGCAAACGCCATGGGCCCCAGTGCAGCAGCCGCCGCCCTGGCGCAGCTGTCGCAGACGGGCCTACCCCACGACGCATCCACGCCCGGCGCGACATTGGGGCTCCAGGGCACCACTGCTGCTGCTGCTGCTGTTGCTGGTGGTGTTGCTGGTGGTGGTGGTGGTGGTGGTGGCACCCTTGGTGGGGTGCGTCCGTATGCGACCACCAAGCGCGGGAAGAAGCCGCGACCGCCGTGCCCAATCTGCGCCGGCCCAGGCCGACACACCCGCTCAAAGTGCGTCAGGCAGTTGTGTTTTCTTCTCCACATGTGTCCATCCATGTGTGTGTGTGTGTGCGCGCGCTTGTGTGTATATGTGTGTGTGTTACATGTGTGTTACACATGTGTTACATGTGTGTGCGTGTCCAGGTTTTCTTCTGCCCGATCTCGCCGCTCATCCACCAACTTCCTCGCACACACGCATGCCAGGATTTGCTCCACTTGCTATGGCGGTGTGTACAATGACATCACAAAGGTGTGCAAGATCAAAGGTCAGCACGCAACCGTCGACGAATTCCTTGCTGCGCTTCGGGCACTTCCGCGTGGGTGCACGCGCAACAATCAATGCGAGCCGTACCACTACAGCCACCTCCGACCACCAAGTCAGTGCTGTGCACTTGGCATTCTATTCTTGCCCCACATGCGTTGGACCGTGTGCACCCTCTCTGCTTCGACGCCTGCATCCATCATCTCACCTGGCCCCGCATGCACACAAACAAACAAACAAACAAACAAACAAACAAACAAAAACAAACAAACAAACAAACATATACACACACCCGCTCTCTTCCTTTTTTGACACACACGCACACTTAGATGAGCGCTGCACCCAATGCCGCACACTGGCCATTGCACGGGAAGCACCAGAGCTGATTGACAACCGTACGTTCGCTTTCAACCCGAAACCGTCGATTGCGATGCTTACGCGTTGCCTCACTGTTGTGGTTTCACATTTGTGTCCATCGCTTGCTTGTTTGCTTGCTTCACTCGCTGCATCTCCGCATTGCTCGCGGCCTCCTCCTCCTCCTCCTCCTCCTCCTCCTCCTCCTCCTCCTCCTCCTCCTCCTCCCGCCATCCTACTCCCTTTCGCTCACCACCCCACAATCCCCTCATCGCTTCGTTCCCCTGAACCCTTTTCCCTACTACTCCCCCACCACTTTACGCTATCGTGAACAACAGTGCTGCAGCGGCGACAGGCGCGCCTTGAGCCGGATTTCGTGCATGGGACCGAACACGACGGGAGTATGGACTTGCCTGCAAGCAAGAAGGCAAGGCGTGAGGGGACACCCACAAGCGAAAGCAGCAGCACATGGGCACTGGACGCACCCAAGGATAACGGGCAGCAGCACCCACAGGACCGCGCAAAGCAGAAACAGCAAAAACAGCGACGCGCAATGGCCCGCGATACCAAAGACGCCAGCGACGACCGCAGCATGAATGACAACACCGGCACCAACGCCAACACGAAAAGCACCAGCAGCACCAGCAACAACAAGGCAAAGGCGATGAACGGTGGTGGTCTTGGCGGCAGCAGGAAGGCAAAGAAAGCGGTGGCAGCACCAGCAGCATTGCATAGCGAAAATGGAAAGCAGAAACACAGTGGAAGGAAAGAAGCGCACGCGCAGGCACGTCGCACAAACGGAACCACAAACGGAACCACAAACGGAACCACAAACGGAACCACAAACGGAACCACAAATGGAACCACAAGCCACGACAGCCACGTTTCGCCTGCAGAGGCTGTAAATGGCAACGACACCACAAACAGCGGCGGCGAGTCGCCAACAACAGTAGCGGCAACAGCACCAACATCAATAAACGCGAAGCGCAAGGCGTCTCCAGCATCCCCACCCGGAACTCGCGTGAACGGCGGACCACCGGCAAAGACCCACAACGGAGCCGTCAAGATGAAGAAGAGCAACCGCCTCGACCGCCGCCGCCGCGATGACACCAACACCAACACCAACAACGATGGGCACGGTGCTCGCGACAGCATCAGCAGTAGCGGTGGCAGCAGTGACGGTGTTGAGTCGGCGGCAGCGCAGAAGAAGATGGTGGCAGCAACGATGACGACGACCACGACGCTGGCCACGAGCTCAGATGCGAGGACCACAGGGCGTGCTGATGAGATTAATGCCAAAGACAGCGCGGTGGGCAACGGCAAGGACAAGTGTTCAAACGGCAGGACGAGCCATGTTGACACGGACATGCTAGATCATCAAGACAAGACAGCTGTGTCTGCTGGTGCGCACACAGGAAATGAATGACTGACTCAATGACTCAATGACTCATTGACCGAGACTTACTTGATTGACCGAACGGACTGGCATCAGCTGGGAACCTGGTGCGCGCAGAGACACATGCTTTCTCCTAATGGCAGCATTAAATGTTTTCTTCTTCCATTGACTTTCCGTCGTAGCCCTTGCGTATGGCTTTTCCAAGTCGTGTTCTGAGCCTGCGTGTGCGCCCTGAAGAAGTGCGGAGTGCACTCTCTGATAGTATGCACGTCATGGCCTTCACGCCTCCCTCTACGCCGCTTTCTTCCTTGTTGTGTTTGGTGCTTCACAGTTTCATCACGTCATTGAACTCACACGCGTGCGGTGTTCATGTGGTGTATATGGTGTTTGTTTGGGTGGCTTGATGTAGTATCAGCGCGATTCTGTGTTTTCTCTGTGTGTGATTCCATTCCACAGACAGTATGCGATGTATGTTGAATTTTCGTATATCTTGTGTTTCATGATCCTGCTCGTGTTATAGTGTTATTGTCGATTGGCTTTACGTTTTTTTCATTGTCGCCTACATGCATCTCTTGCTTTTCTGTATCAGCACGTCTGTCCCATTCATTCCAGGCGTTTTCTTTGGTAGCTCTCTGGTTTTCTGACACGAGCAACAGGCACATGTGCATGCACGATCGCTGTTCAGTCATGGATTCATGCCAGTACGCATTGGTGGGTTTCTTGGCTGCCTGTTGGGTCTGTGGTGCTCTGGTCAGGGTGATTGTGCACACCGCCCATGACCCACTGCAAGAGCCACACTGTCTTGAGAACAGCGGTCACTTGGTCGTGCATCGTGTGCTTGTCTCCCGTCTTCATACCGATGTCTTTTCCCTGCACTTTGTCTCGTTCTGTTGCTTTCTTTGCCCCTCACTCGTAACGCTGGGTTGTTTGTTTTCCCGCCTGTCCAGTTGTGTGTGTGTGTGTGTGTGTGTGTGTGTGTGTGTGTGTGTGTGTGTGTGTGTGTGTGTGTGTGTGTGTGTGTGTTCCTGAGCTTCTTTGTTTGTGTCTTGTCACAAGAAATACAAACTGATTGACAACACAAGCGATGTGCTGCTACTCATGCTGAAAGTCTGAAAGTGTTGGTACGGTCATCGTTGATTTCTCGATTTTTGTGGCAGTGGTGTTGTGGGCAGGCCCAACCACACACCCACACCCGCACCCACACCCGCACCCACACTGGCAGTCAGCCCCAACACCATGTCTGGAGCTATCCATCCCACAACCATTGCCCCTTTACGCCTCCAGGCCTTCCACCCCTCCACCCCAAACCCCATGTACACCCAACAACCCCATACACAGCCCATGCACACCCACACACTATCAACTCATCGCATGCCCTTGCCAGCCTAATGATGTACATACATGGCTCTGCTCGTTCGGTCTGCAAACACAAAATGGCGGGAGAAAGACGCAATAGGACGGGTGCACATTGCGGCTGTGGTTGTTTACTTATGGGGCAGGACAGGGGACAGGAAAAGCAGGCGCATAACGTGCGCAGCTGGGGGGGGGGGAGTGAAGTCATGGACATGAACGAAGGCACGCAGAGGAAAGAGCTGAGGGTGTTTGTGTGCGCTGCAGACGAGGCGCAAAAGCAAACCAATCACACACACACACACACATCCACACACACACACACACACACACGCACACACACACACACACACGCACACACACACACACACACACACACACACAGGCGGGCGCTAGTCGTATGGGAAGAGGCGGACCGGCATCGGCCACACGAGCTCGTTGTCCGGTTTGATCTGGAACATGGTGGCGTTGCGCGAGAGATACTCAGCGACGCGATCAAGGCTCTCAGAGCGAATGATGTGCGCAAACACGCCTGGATACGCACAGAGAGAGAGAGAGAGAGAGAGAGAGAGAGAGAGAGAGAGAGACAGAGAGAGACAGAGAGAGACAGACAGACAGAGAGACAGAGAGAGAGACAGACAGACAGACAGAGAGAGAGAGA